GCTTGGGCAAAATCAAATATGGAGTACTCTGAGAGGCCGTTTGGCAATACTGTTTTTTCAGCTTATCAGGCTTATCAGTCAACTTTTTCACCAAACACGTATATTTTTCTTTCGTGCGATGAATTTTGTAATAAGCAGAAAAAGTAAGATTGAAGTTACTTTTCTGGCTGTATTGGCTGAAGTTACTGTAGATGACCATTTTAGCTATTTTTACATATAATTTTTTCTTTATTTTATTACTAAAATATATTTTATAATTATTTTTTCTTAAATTAGCAGAATCAGTCAATGCAGCCACTTCAGCCACAACTTCACAAATTTCAGCAGAATCAGCCAAATCAGCCGATTTCCATGCTATCAAACGGGCTCTGAATGTAGTAACACCAGCGCACAAGAGAAAAAGAATCATGGGTCCCACAAATAAAAAACCCTTATTATTTTTAAAGGGCTATAACTTTTTTATCTGTGTTCTGATTGTTACAAAAAATATATCAAAATTTATAATTTTTTATTATCTTGTATAGGGAAAAGGGGCAAATAAGGCCACGTACTAACAAAAAAAGGTCAAATAAGGCCTTATTTATGAGACTCTGTACGGCCTTCGCCATTTGGGTTGGTTCTCGGTGGAATTTTTTGATGAATTTTTTTTAGCGTCTTATTCAGTAAGTCTAGTTTACTCATACCAAATTTAAGCTAAAACTTCAACCGGGAAGCCATTCAAATGAACTCTTGAAGATAATTGCGCAGTTAAAAGCGCAGTTATCTTCAAGAATTCATTTGAATGCCTTCTCGATTAAATTTTTCTCTGAAATTTGGTATGAGCAAACTAGACTTAATGAATATGATGGTCAAAAAAATTAATCAAAAAATTCCACCGAGAACCACTCCAAATGGCGAAGGCCGGACAGAGCCTCATAAATAAGGCCTTATTTGATCTTTTTTGGTTAGTACGTGGCCTTATTTGCCCCTTTTCCCTCTTGTATATGATATCAATATTGAATATATAAAAATAAAAACATAGGCACTTTAAAAAAGCGATGGTATATTTTTTAAAGTAATGTAACTTTTTTATTTGTGCTCCGATTGTTATAAAAAATGTATCAAAACTTATAATTTGTTATTATCTTTCATATGAAACTAATATTGCATATATAAAAATAGAAAAGTAATTTTACACTTTAAAAAATTTATGTTTTTTAAAGTGTTATAACATTTTTTTGTACTTCAATTGCTACAACAACTATATATATATAATTTTTTATACTAATATTGCATGTATAAAAAAATCTACTCCCTCCGTCCCGCTAGAAGGTTCCCGTGAACGGTTTACGATGATTGACTGATGATAAAGCAACTTAATCCCTGTTCACACTCTGATTATTTTTAGTAAATAAAATTAACATATTCAGAAACTACATTAAAATCGCTACAAAGACTGATAAAAAATGTAAATTTGGTAAAAATTTGATTTATAAAGTAAAAGATTAAAAATGATTTAAGTTGACCATGAGAATAGTGGACAGGACCTTCTAATGGGACGGAGGGAGTATTCCTTTGTGCGGTATATAATCAATTTTTATCATGCACACTATTGATTTGGAGTGACAGCTTGGAACAAATCTACACAAATTCTAGCTCAAAGAATAAAACAATAAATAAAAGTGATAGATTTGAAAATGATGGTGAGCATCTTTTCTCCTATAAAGCCAATGTTTGGTTCATTTAAAAATCTACTAGACAATTTTTAAAAAGATCAGACCAAACATTTATCCAAGTCTAGTAAGTTTATGTTAAATGTTTGATCTATTTAGCCAGATATGTTTGAATATATATGTAATGTTGGTATCATATTCTTAAAAAAATTAATAAATTTTAATAGATTTTATTTTTATTTTTATATATGTAATGTTGGTATCATATAAAAGGTAATAAATAGTTATGCGTTTGGATTTTTTTTTTTGTAAGAAACAGAATATAAATAAACAAGTTGTAACACTTTATAACCAGTAGTTTTTGTAAAGTGTTAAATTATTTTTTCAACTTTTATATATGTAGTATTGGTGTCATATGAAAGATAATAATAAATTATAATTTTTGATAAGTTTATTATAACAATCGGAGCACACATAAAAAGTTGTAGCATTTCAAAAATAAGGATGATTTTTTATTGGTGGAACCCAAGACTATTTTTTCAACTATGCTCTTGTGCGCGGGCGTGGCAACAATTATGTAGCTTTTTATTTTTGCCTAGGGTGCAATTGCGGTTGGGAGTTATTAGCTTGAGTTAATCCCAACAGCAGTTTGGGAAATATTTTTAAGCTCGCACTATTTTGGTAAATATTCTTTTATTTAGCATTATAATAGGAAAGAGCTCTATTTTTAGAGCAGCAAAAGGGTAAAAAGAAATTGTAGCAAAAAAATAAATTAATGCGCATCCGGGGAATCGAACCCCGGTCAGTACCGTGGGAGGGTACTATGATACCACTACACTAGATGCGCTTTGTGATTTTTTATCATGCAAAAATGTATTTAACCATATGTTAACGATCATTTGGTTTAGAATGGCCGCATGGGATGCTGCATAGTACGCAATTTATTTTATGAATCCAAATCTATATTAATTAACATAAAAAGGGAAATCAAAGTTACGATCGGACAAATATGCAGGCCTTGGTAAGGATGGACCGTATCCACTAAGCCCGAACTGGGGATGTAAAGGCGGGCTCCAGGTCTTCAAAAATAGGGACGAACCGGTTTAAGGTTTTCAAAAGCGGTGACAGTCTCGGCGACAGTTTAAAGTTTTCAAAGCGGCGACAATCGAAGGTTTCCGGTTGTCGAGACTGTCGCTGCTTTGAACTACTCCCCTAAACCCTAAACCTTAAACTTTACACTATGCCATTTTTTCCATAGATAATGTATTACTCATATTAGAGAAATGAAAACATTAAACTTATATTTTTATACTTTCTTTATGTTTTACTCCTATTTTAGATAATTTCTTAATATATTAATAATTGAAATAGTGTATTCACAAATGTAAAGTGAGAGTGTTATCATTGAATAATCACAAAGTATATTTTATACGAAATAGTAATTAAATATGTCATTTAACTCACTCATTGCATACACGAGAGAAAATATACTATAGACGAAATGAATGATAAGTTCATAGAGACTTATACAGCGTAATTACTTTTTTCTAGAATGAGTTTTTGTCACTTTTAGTCATTCGATTATAATGTTTGTGATACTTTTAGTACTAGATTTGATTTGTTTCACTTTTAGATCTTCAAATATTGTAAGAAAGATACTTGTCATCGACTTCAAGATGTTCCACAGGTAATTCCTTAATATCGTAAAAAATGAGAAAGTGCAACGTTATTATAAAATTGGAGTGTAAACTACGTAGTATAAAAGATGTATGGTTCTCTTAAAAGTCAGAGAATTGGTACCATCCCAAATATATATAGAACTTGTCTCGTTACGTACCAATTTTAGGTACAGTTCAATATGGTTCTTCAATACTATTCAATTCCTAAATATTCACAATAAAAAAGGGAGATTTCCCAAAATAGGAGTAAATGAAGTTTGAAATTCCAAAACAGGACTACTTTGTTTTTATTCCCAAAATGGGACTAACATGACAGTATTTACTGCCATCTTGTAGCCGTGACTGCCAAAGAGTTGGAGTACAGTGCATTTAACATGACAGTATTTATTATAATTAATTACAATATTTTTCAATCATGGCAGTATTTTTCATTTTCCATCATTTGCAATGGAGCCAAAGATTTCTTATTTTTTGGCTTGAGATTATGATGGAATAAAGCAAAATGGCTCACTAAACTGTCTGCGCTTCTTTGTTATGGAGCAGCAGCCAGTCCATGCAATTTTGGACGCGATTTTCACTATGGGTCATCCGGAAACAGTCTCTCTGTGCTTTAGTACAGGGGTAAGACTACGTACATCCGACCCCCCTTACCCCACCGTAGGTGGGAGCCTTTGCGGCACTGGGGTAAATGAAAATGAAAATGACAGTATTTTTCATACATGACAGTAATAACTACTATTCCGGGAAGAAAAACATAGTAGTCCTATTTTTGAATTCCAAGTGTCATTTGCTCCCATTTTGGGTAATTTCCCAATAAAAAATGAATGTTTTACATTTTAGCATTTATAAGTAACTATACAAAAAATGAAGAGCATTCTGAGCACTGTCCTTCCAGCTAGACAAGATCATTCCCTATATATATGGAGTTATGTTCAAATGAAAAGATATTTTAATTAACTTGTAAAATAATAATTAATCTCAGCTGTCCAAACTGTCAATTTGATGCACAATAACTCTTATCTCGTGCACTTTCGAATAAATCTTATGCACTTTTTTGAAAAGTGTATCAAATAAAGTTTATTTGAAAATTGCATCAAATAAGATTAATTCTGCACTTGTGCATCAAATTGACTTTTTAGACGTCTCAACCACAAAAACACATTTTAACTTTATTATCACTTTCTTATATTTGGATGTGAAAGAGTTTTATGAGAGTGTGATTTCTAAAAATTGGTATATTTTAATTCGGGATAAGGGTCAAATAGGGGTTCGAACTTACCAAAAAATGTCAAATAATGTCATATATAGGATGCTTTGTACGTCCGACATCATTTGGGGTGGTTCCCGGTTAAATTTTTCGATGAAAATTTTTGAGCATCTTATTCATTAAATCTAGTTACTCATATCAAATTTGAACTAAAAATTAAATCGGGAAGACATTCAAATGAATTTTTGAAAATAACTGCGCAGTTAAAAGGGCATTTATCTTCAAGAATTTATTCGAATGCTTTCTTGATTGAATTTCTAGTTCAAATTTGGTATGACTAAACTAGACTTAATGAATAAGATTCTCAAAAAAATTCATCAAAAAATTTGAACAGGAACCGCCCCAAATGGCGTCCGTGGAACAAATCATCTTATATAAGACCTTATTTTTGACATTTTTTTTTGTAATTTCGAGACCCACCTTCTCCGTTTTAATTTTAACCGCACTGAAGATGCTGAAGCCCATTTCTGCCGTTCTGCGATAATACCCAAGGCAGAACTATCAAGAACAAAAGAAGCATGGCTGCTTTCTCTTCCACCAGCCACACTGATGAGGTTTCTGAATTCCTTACGTTTACAGTTTCTAAACGTTGTTTTATTGATTGTTGTCGTTTCTCATGGGTCCTAGGATACGACTATCTTTTAGTCGATTAAAATAACTTTCAGATACAAATTGAAATGGAAATAGCTCTTAATACTTATACTGTCTTTGCAAATTAGTTCCTTTTAACTCTTTCCATAACTTGCCGTTTTGGGATGCTTAGGTTCTCGTCGAGGAAGCTGCATGTGTGAGAACGTTTATACTAAACAGACCCAAACAACTCAATGCTCTTTCTTACGCTATGGTAAGTTTCCAAGGGATCAATATAAGCACTAAATCACCAATAATTTGGTTGATCCCATTGATTTCTGCTTTATGTTTACTACAATAGTGGTGTATATTTCGGAGCAATTATTGCTATTCTGATTGCTGAATTGAATTGGTCAATATGGTCATTGAATTGGTCAAATCAGATATGGTCGATTACCATTTTAGAGAAGAAATACTTATTGACTTTCGGTTGTTTAAGTTGGGTTTATGTTTGCCTGAATAGAGTGTAGTTTGAGACTTTGCTCATTATGTGTACTGGAAGTGCTTGTGGATACTGTGAAGGGAAGGGGACGCGGTGGAGAAGTTATATTTTTTTTCTGCGATATCTTACCTCCTTGAAGGATGCGGTTTTTAGTGTCATTAACTTTCCAGGCTTCTTGTAAAAAGTTCTACCCAACCAGCTAGCTGCCCATTTCCATACATATGCGGTCATTTTCACTTGTTTTTATCCCATTCTAATATCTAAGTTTCTAACCTTATTATTTTTGTTACTTAAATTAATTATCATATGTTTATCTAGTTTTGTGAGTGACTTATGAGTTAAGACTACATGCTTTTCTTAATCCAGGTATCTCGGTTACTAGAACTTTTCGTAGTCTGCGAAAATGATGCAAATGTCAAGTTGATTATCTTGAAGGTATATCTTGGCTTCATAGAGATAAGTCATACTGCATTTATACTTAAGTACTCAATCGCTTCACTTTCTTCCACTGCGTCACATATATGGTCTCTTAAGGCGGTCAATTTGGCTATTTGATGTGTTGGTTAGCTAGAGAGGTAAAAAGAACAGAACACATGTTACAGGGCAGTACGATGATTTTTGTCCATGATCCAAAATCTTTTGTTTCTTTTGTTTTTGTTTATTTATTAAGGTGCATCATTGTTTTTCATAGAAGAACTTTATTTCTTTCACGTCATAACATAATGAGCTTGTTATTATCTTTAAGAAAAGCATGGAACTATGTAGTTTAGTACTTCATCAGCCTAACACGAAGATGTTGTTCACTATCCTGCTAATGCTGTTATGATTAACAGTGGTTGGTAATCCATAGTTGACACATTTCTTTATTAGCAGAGTAGCGGAAGAGCTTTTTGTGCTGGTGGAGATGTTGCAGCTGTAGTTCATGATATTAGACAAGGTATATCATTTTGATGGAAGTTTATCTTTATCACTTTTAGGATGTGGCCATGTGGATATCTTGGCAGCTGATGTCAGTAATATTGCTTTTCTTTTTTTATTTTCCTTTTTTCAAAAATATTAGGAAACTGGAAGTTTGGTGCAGAGTATTTCAGAAAAGAGTTCACCATGAACTATGTAATGGCAACTTATAGCAAACCCCAGGTTAACTATTGACCATGATTGCTTTCTTTTACTTTCTCTGAATTCCTTCACTTTTAAGAATCTTTCTTACTCCTTTGAACGCTATGTGTAGGTTTCAATCCTTAACGGAATTGTCATGGGAGGTGGAGCAGGTGCTAGTGTACACGGAAGATTCCGAGTTGCTACTGAGAAAACGGTATGATCCCCCATCAGATTTTAATAGCTCAGATGAATTACCTCCTTGTAGCCCATTTATTGTCATTAGATTATTGTTTTTTGGCCCCTGAAAAGATTTAAGACGGTGTTTTTATGCTACAAATTGTAGCTGAATAATTAATTTTGCAAAAGATAGCTAAAAGCTGACTGATAAAGTAGGAGGGAAGATGTTTATGCTGCCAAGTTAACGACATCTAATGCAGTCATGCAGCATTGCATGACTTTGAAATGTGTGGCTTGAAATGACTTGCCACAAATTTCTTTAATTTTTTTCCCCTGACTAATTGCTGCAATCTTTCAGATTTGGTTGTGGTTTACAATATGGTACTGGGGACTCAAGATATGCTGTTTCTGTTTGCTTTCTTGCAGGTTTTTGCTATGCCTGAAACAGCTTTAGGCCTTTTCCCAGATGTAGGGGCCTCCTACTTTTTATCAAGGCTTCCTGGATTTTTTGGTGAGTTCTGTAGTTTAATTTTCCTCTGGAAACATTGATTTAATTTCTGGTTCAGATCTATTTAATCTCACCTTACATAAATTTATATGATTATTTTTATCTATTAAGAAGGTATGTTTTTTTAACTCCATCTTTGTCCTCTTCGGCAGGAGAATATCTTGGCCTGACTGGTTCTAGGTTGGATGGTGCTGAAATGGTTGCAAGTGGTCTAGCTACTCATTTTGTCTCTTCAGAGGTAGGCTATTAGAAATTCTGTACTTCAATACCCATATTTGATTTAATCTTATTGAAACAATATCTTAAATGGTATCTATTACAATAATTTATTGTTAGGAAAAGAACATGAATATGGTACTAATCACATTTAGCCTTTGAGTTCTAGTTTAGATAGCCTATTAACTTACTGTACTACAGAGACTCAGAGAGTTTGTTTAGTCTTGTGTTTGGCTCTAAATGTTTTTCAAGTAATATTTAGCTGCAGATCTCATAAGAATGAATACAACAACATCAGAACCAAATAGAAAAGAAAGATAAGAAAAAAAATAAGGTAAGATAAAAAGGATAAGATAAAGATAAATATAAGACAAAAGAACAAAAGAAAGATAAAAATAAAAATAACATAAGAACATAAAAAAGATAAAGAAGATAAAAAGATAAAAGAAAACAAGAGAGAAAATAAAGAGAAAGGAGGTCAATCCATCTCATAAGAACAATATGCTCTTATTAACATATCCCTGCTGCTTATGTGGTAGAATGTTCCTTTTGAATACATGTAGGCATTACACTTGCCCTTAAACCATGTCTGCAATTCATCACAGCGCTGCTGAATTAGCTATGCATTTCATCCCATCTCTTTTAAGTACGACTTTATAACACATTTTTCCTTATTATCCAGAGACTGTCATCCCTAGAAGAAGCATTACATAATAGCAATTCAAGTGACCCAGTAATTATTTCTGCAATTATCAGTGAGTTTTCACAAGTACCAAAACTGAGAGAAAAGAGCACGTATAATCAGTAAGTTCATCTATCTCCAGTTCTCCACACACAACGCACTTGTTCTGTTCAAATCTGGGTTTGACCACTGGAATGCAATAATCATCTGCATTAAATGGCTGCTGAATAATAGGCTACTATTACTGATACATCTTTCAGCTTACAGCTCTGTGGTTAATAGAGAAATAGAGGACCTAATGTCCTAAACCTGGTGCAAATGGGAAACCTATCATGTAAACTTAAAGGATAGGAAATTGTAATATTGCTAATAGTACGACTGTATGACTATTATATTATCATTTCTATATTTTAACACTACCATCAAGATGGAACATCATATGCTCCAAGCTTGTTACACAAACCTCAAGCATTTCTAGAAACTTAAACATTACTTCAACTTGTTTTCAGCTTTGTAGATTCACAATGTAAACACTTGAACAACATTCCACTTGAACCCTTCTTGAATGGTACTGGTGCTCACTGAGCATCCAAACTTGAACTTCTACTTTAACTTCAACTTAACGTTAAATTAACTCCAGCAGTTCTATTCCCTTCCTACTTTGTGCTGCCAGAGTTGGTATGTGCTTTGATTGTTTGACTACGATTAAGCTAAATCTGTGATATCTTATTGCATGGTAAGTGATAACCTTCATTTATTTGGCGTAATATGTTGTTAAGTAATGGTAAATTGTTAATTCTTGCTTACTGTGTTTCTCTCATCTTACAAGACAGTTTCTTTTAACTATTCTTATCACTTTAGGTATCAGGTAATCATTTTTTATGCCACTTCGTGCATGCACTTCAAAAGTTTCAGAAGTGCTATATATTTTAGCCTGACAAAATAAATAAATCAAATCAATCTTAATGTCTCATGATGCATGTCAAGTCCTCTTCTGAAAACAGTTAAGTAGCGTTGTTGGAAGATCTCTCTGGTCTGGCTTATGAATTGTTGGAGTCTAAATTTCTGCATTTTTGTATGCAGGTTAAAGATTATTAATCGCTGTTTCTCTCAAAGAACAGTTGAAGAAATCATTTTTGCCCTTGTAAGTAACTGAGTAATGATTATGCTAAAACTCTGTTTCCTTTATCCTTGTGTACTTTTCAGCTGGAGGTAAACCAGCAAAGTTTGGTTAATGATAATCTGTATGTAGGAAAGTGAAGCTGCAAATAACGAGGATGATTGGATTTCTTCAGCAATTCAATCACTGAAGAAAGCATCACCTACAAGTCTAAGAATTTCTCTAAGATCAGTATGCATCCATAAGCACTCTCCAACACCAATGTGTAGTAATAGGGCCTAGGACTATTTTTATGTTGAGAGAGCCATAGTGCATATTTTATTTATTGCAAGTGTATGTTTTCTGTGGTCAGAATACATGATATATTCAACCACAAAAACTAGGGGTGGAAATAGGCCAGGTGGCCTGTCAGGGGCTGTGGGCAAGTCTATGTCGTAGACAAACTAGGCTTGGGCTTTTATAAAAGACCGTGTATCTAAATATGCCAGGCTTAGCCCAGCTCTGAAGCCCAATAAGCATTACAGGTCAGCCTATACACACACATACATATCTATAAGTATATTTAACTATAAAAAGTTAAATATAAAAGAGTATCTTTATGTGTGTGTATTATTTATTAGAATCTATTTATTTTGAACATATACAATGTGTTATTAGGTTAATTGGCCTTTAAGATTTAACTAGAAAACTACAAAGGTCATAAGCTACAAAACTAGATATTATCAGGTTGTTTAAATATAGTGTTGAAAGGATTTTTAACTTTTTATTATAATTTTTTTGGACTATTTAATTTTTTCTTTAACAGGCTTGGCAAAGAGGCTTCAAGCAAGCTTTCTAGCAGGTCAGGGCATCAGGCTAAGACAAAAACAGGCTTTTAACCGGTAACAGGCCAGGCTAAGGCCTAAACTTTTTAAAACAAGTCTGGCTTTTTAGACGAAAGCCTGACCTGACTTGTATCCACCCCTACCGAAAACTATTGCCCATGCCATGGAGTGTACATAGCTAAATGAAGAGATGTTTAGATTGTATAACAGCACCGCTTGTATTCTATTACTCTGGTCTTTAAAATAGCATATGATTAAATCACTGAAAAAAGTATATATATGGTAGTATATATATCGTCATAATTATAGTATCTGGTTATGCAATGTAAACATTATAAGGTGTGGTATTTGAATGTGATTTACTCTTTCTCTTCAGATACGGGAAGGGAGACTGCAAGGTGTAGGCACATGCCTAATGCGCGAGTTTAGAATGGTATGCCATGTACTGCGTGGAGAGGTCTCCAAGGACTTTGTCGAGGTGAAGTCACCTCCTTTTCCTTCTTATGTGTAGTTTCTACTTGCCTATGTTTTCAGGAAGTATAAAACATTGTTTCAAAACAGGGATGCAGAGCTATACTCTTGGATAAGGATAGAAACCCCAAGGTTTAGTATGATCATGTTCTACACACTCATTATTGCAGCAGTAAAAGCTTGAATCTCAACTTTTGTGTGTCGCGACTTATTTTTTATGTTTTACTCTGTAGTGGGAGCCATCCAACTTGGAACTGGTCACAGATGAGATGGTTCATCACTACTTCGTCAAGGTAGATGACATAGACTGGAGAGATTTAGAGTTGCCAAGCAGATCAACTGTGTTGCCTTCATATGCCCTTGCAAAGCTCTAATCAGTATTGACCATTATAGCAAAGTACTCCGAGAGATTATTTACTTGTCTTGAGATATGGTGGAGAATTATGAAGTGGTTCCTCCTATGAACTAATCCTGAACTGTAAAGAGATATGGTGGAGAATTGACCATTAATAACCTCCACTATGAGCTGGTTTGATAAGCTGGAATTCTTTGTGAATGACCTCACTTGGTAACCTCCATTGGTGGTACATAATTACAATGTCATGTACTGCTTTGTAAAAATGGTTCCTCCTCTGAACTAATCCTGAACTGTAGTTTGTACGAATATGCAGGCCTATGTGAATTTGCTATGGAAAATGCGTGACCAAAACATTTACAAATTCCTAATATATCACTAGCAAACTTAAACATGCATTTATATGGGTAATAGTTAAATTCAAGAGAGTAAAAATAACTTCAAAACACTTGTCATACATGCAAAATATCATTATCTCAGAAATTTAAAAAAACTATTTAGTCATATTGAGGAATCATCACCTCGTTTAGTCATAGTGTCATACTTTTAGTAATTTTCTCTATTTGTTACTCCATTTCTATTGTGAACATTTGGTGCTTACCTTCTTAAACAGAAAGATTCATTGGTGATTCATTTGATATTTATATGCTCAGGGCATAACGAGCAAAAGTTGTGTGTGTGTGTGTGTGTGTGGGGGGGGGGGGGGGGGGGGGGGGGGGCTCTACAAAAAAATTAGATAAATTTTTACACATAAAATGCAAACATTTTTTAAATTTGAGGTGGGCCTAGACAAGCCCCCGACCTCCACCCCTAGATAGTTTACTATTTGCTCCGCTACATCAACCTTCATTGACATTGAATCACTAGCTGCTAATAACCTTAACTCTGACATATTTTGCAAGTCACCACGAGGTCCACAAAGCCACCTAGGGATGGACTTGGTCAGTGGTCCCGGTTCGCAACCGGGCCCGCCACTATGCAGGATCGAACTGGGTCCGGTTTTTCGGTCATGGGTGTGGATTGGGTACCCGATCGGGTGGGGGGCGGTCTCGGTCTAGGGTAGGGGTTTTTAGGACCGAAGCGGGTTGTTCCGGTCTCGGTTTTGGTCCCAATGGGCAATTTTTTAAAAAAAAATTAGGGTGGGTTGGGTGGGGAAGCGGTTTGGATGATTAGTTCATGTATTTAAATTTTAAAGTTTAAACTATTGTCAATTGTAATTTGTAAATGTGTTGAGAACACTCTAAGTTAATGTAGTGTTTGTAATAAGCATACATTACTTTTTTGGAAAAAGTCATTTGTACACATTTGTTGTACACACCCCGTAATTGTCTGTGTACACAAATAACTCGTTCAGAAGCTCCTGTATATACATGCAACTAGGTAGTGTGTACAACAAATGTATACAACTTATGTGTAGAAGTAGCACCCTTGATAAGAACTCTTACATCCATACAACACGCACTTCAAAGTATCTCTCCTTCGAGACTCGTAATAACCACAAGTCACCTCACCCACCGATCATACTTAGAAAGATCGACTCATGCTTGAGCAACACCTTTCACCTAACATGCAAGAGATTTGAAGTAACTACCGGCATTAAAAATCACAATACTTCTCTTCCTAAAACACCAAACCTATCAAATCACACAGAAAGCAACCATACTCTTCGAGTTTGAAAACAAAAAATATATAAGACATAGAAAGAGCTCACATTGAAACACAAGCAATAAAAAACAATAAGATAAACTTCTCGATATGTCTTCTTCCATCCCTTGCCACCACATCCAAGTTGAAGTGTCATCTTCCAAACCCTAACAACCCGTCTACTCCACGATGGTGGTTCGGGAGGAGGAGGGGCCATCAGTACTGTTGTTTTGCTGGCCTCTAGATAAATCAATCCAACTTCAACATCATCCAACCTTGAAAGTCTGTACTGTTTCCCCAAAGCTTCTTGATTCGTCTTCATCGTCCCTTGTTGCGTCTTACTCGTCCAAATTGTGATCGAATGTCTACCTTGAAACCGTCGACCAAAACTCATAAGCAAACCACAGGGATCCTTGGACTAATCAGAATCTTAGGCGTAAGCTAGACGCCGCCGCTCTCGGCAAACATAGTTAAAATCCAACAGTATTATACTACATCCGTTCTTTTTTAATGACAACATTGGTGAGTTTTGCACTATTCTCATACTCTACTCGGAGAATATTTATTTATTAATTTACTATAAATTAATTTTTTTGAAAAAATATTGTTAAATTTCTCTCATTCTAAAGTTTCAAAATATGAAATTTTAATTTATTTTGCTAATAAGAAATGAGATGTTTTAATGATTGAAGTTGCACGCTAGCAAACATAAAAAGTGGTCAGTTCCAACTAACAAAACACATAGCATCCCATATATCAATCCATCACAAGTGAACATTAAGGGACTGTTTGCAAATGCTTTTGATTTTAGAAAAAGTGATTAATAGTAAAAGTTGATAGTGTTTGAAAAAAACGATTTTGAAAAGTAAAAGTTGGAAGTGTTTGGTAAAATATGTGTTTTTTGTGTAATAAAAAAAGTAAAAAGAACTTTCCAGTAAAAACCCGAGAAACATTTTTTTAAATTGAAGTTGTCATTTGGAAACACTAATTTTAACTTTTTAAGTTAAAAGACGAGAATCGTTTTTCCTAATCTCTTGCTTAAAAGTATAGAAGATAGATCAATTAACGGGTCAGTCGCGTTAAATATTGTCCAAAAGTGTTTTGCATGAACAAGGAACAGACAGCGCATCTGGTGTAGTGGTATCATAGTACCCTCCCACGGTACTGACCGGGGTTCGATTCCCCGGATGCGCATTATTTTGGTTTTTTTGCTACGATTTCTTTTACCCTTTTGCTGCACTAAAATACTACTAGTAACTAGTAAATGGTTTTTTTTGCAATTCACTCCATAGATGATGGTTAGGTTTAATCTATCTACATAATTTACAGCCCTAAAATACTGAAATTCGACCCAACACAAAAAATCTTAATGAAATACCCATATTAGACATTATTCATCTCTTCATTCTACTCAACATAGCCAATTAGGGAGTACAGTTTATGAAAAAGTACTCTCCCCATCCCAAATTAATTGTTTTGTTGGTTTAATAAAGTGATTGATACTGCCTCCGTCCCAATAGACAATATACACTTTAAATTAGGTAAGAAATAAGGATAGTAAAAATTGTGCGGTTAAGTTTTGTGCAGAGAAGAGAAATGAGCAGAATCACATATTGGTTTCTTTAATGGAAAAGTAGCAAAGTTTTTTTGGACAACCAAAAATGGAAAATAGCTTAGGCAAAATCCAATGAGACAGGATATAAGTTAAAGAGTACATATTAGTGCCAAACTAGAAATATGAGAATTATTTTGGGACCTATTCCTTTTATAAATATAACTGTTACATGAATAAAAACAAAGGCGTTCGCATGTATTACACTATTACTCTCTTCGTAAAAACTTAGGGCATGTTTGGGAGTTTGGAGGGAAGGGGAGGAGAAGGCTTTGGAGGTATATTGTTGGGGGAAAGGAGGGGAGGGTGAGGAAACCCTTCTTTGTATTTGTGAGTAAAAAAATTGGAAGAATATGGTTTTTGAAGGAATTATAATTAAAATCACTTTGAGATATGACGAATTCAAATCATTTAGTTGATATTCATTTTTAATTTAGCTTAAATTACCATCATGTTAATTACCCTTGAAAACCCTTCAAATTGGGGGAACTTAAAAATTAAGCATTTGGAGGATTTTGAAGGGTTGAAAAAGCTCTCCAAAACCACCCCTTCCGTTTTTTAAACTCCCAAACATAAAAGGAGGGTTTTAACCTCTCATTAACCCCCCTCCCTTCCAAAACTCAACTCCCAAACACACCCTTAGGGTATGTTTGGGAGTTTGGAGGGAATGGGAGGGGAAGGCTTTGGAGGTATGTTGTTGGAGGGGAAAGGAATGGGAGGGTGATGAAGCCCTTCTTTGTATTTGGGAGTAATAAAATTAGGAGAGGGGTTTTGAAAGAATTATAATTAAAATCACTTTGAGATATGAAGAATTCAAATCATTGAGCTGATATTCGTTTCTAATTTAGTTTAAATTATCATCTTGTTAATTATCTTCCAAAACCCTCCAAATTGGGGGAACTTAAAAATTAAGCATTTGGAGGGTTTTGAAGGGTTACAAAAGCTCTCCAAAACCACCCCTCCAATTTTTTAAACTCCCAAACATGAAAAGGATGGTCATAAACCCCCATTAACCTTCTCCTCCCCTCCAAAACCCAACTCCCAAACACACCCTTAGAGGATAATTAAAACCCAAAATCTTAGAAAATTGAGGACTCAAATCTAGTAACCATCATTTTACAAAATTGAGGGTAAAAATTTAGGAACCAGAATGTTTTTAGTTTGACTAAATTCACAAATATAGACCAAATTAAATTTAATAAAACCTGATTGGAGATTAACATCTGATCATATTAGAAAATTTGAATTGATATCTGAATTGGTAGCAATGCGGTGGTCATTCACATAAATACGAAGCTACACATTCTTACGCATAAATATTTAATCCATGAATGATGCGCTTGTGAAAAATACTACAAATTCTTAAGCATAGTATTCTAACGAGTCCTTAGTTTAATACTCGGCATTAAACTAAGGATATCAATACTCGGTATTAAATTACCCCTATTATTAATATGGGACATTAATAAAACGAGTATGTATATAATATGTATACATACTCATATGTATAAGGATATCAAATGTATAAGGATGTATAAGGATATCAACACTGTAGACTCGGGGGTGGCCCTACAGGGCAGGAACCCTAGCCCAAAAAATCAAAAAAGAATTAGGCTCATGATCAGTTCTTTATAATAAGTTTGATTAGACTCATTTTTCAACCATAAGCTAATAATTTTGGGTGAAACTTTTTGATGTGCTTTTGGATATATTTTTTGATGAACATTTATGAGCATATTCTTCGTGAAGTGTAGATTATATCTACAAAATTTAAGTTTAAAACTCAATCTCAAAGTCAGTTTGTCAATAATTTTGTATAATTTAAGAAAAACACTGCACCAAAATATGCATAAAACCACAATGTTCGGCCTTGAGTGCAGTCCTCTAGAATGATAAGTGTTATACTCTTATACTGCATCATGATTAGCCACATGCGAATTAATATGTTTTTGCATAATTAAATGTTACATCTAAACGGGTAATTATTAATGGTGCGATTAGACATATTATGAACCTTGTAAATTTGTAAATGTATACAAATAGTTAAAAAGTTTTTTTGTCACTCTCGTATTGTGGGAGAAAAATATCTATTGGATTCTTGATAATTAAGGTTAATTAGCATGATCATACACAAATGATGTGTCATTTGTCAAAATCAATCTTACTTGAAAGTTAAGAAACAACGATTGAGAAAAACAAGGATAACATGGACCTAGCTTTGTCCATCTAAATTGAGATGTCATTTTGACAAAAGGGAATGCAAGTCATAGTTATTCCTTGATAGAGTCTGCTCATGGCTTGCAAACTTTAGGCATTTATCACGTCCACTACCAACGTTATATAAACCTACAATGTCACAAACCTTAGCGATATGACTCATTAATATTTAAATAGAATGTTAATAGCCCAATTCCAAGTAGACATTTTGAGCCACATTAGGGCATTGGGTAGGGCTGCAGGAGGATTTTATCAACTATAAAACTCATTTATCTCCTCTCTTAATGACGACTTAAGGAAGCTGTGAGTTTTGGATTAGATCTACACGATCAGATCGCATAGAGAGATAAAAGAGAGCATTATCATGTAGCCTGCATATGATCCGATGTGTGGATATCGATAGAGTTCATAAAGATTTTTTGAGACAACCCGACATCCTCAAAGCTCTTACAATTTCTTCATGCAAGTTTCTAATCCTATAATTTCGTTTATAATATGAACCTCAAATCCTATCAGGATTTATCAAACACAACTTTTTTATTTGTTCCGTCTCTCAAATCTTTCCGAATCCAAGATACTCTTGTAAAGAACGCTTTATACTTTCATTTGCATTGCAACACTTATCTTTTCATGTTTGCTAGCGCACAATTTTAAACATTAATATATTTAATTCTTTATTAGTAAAAAATTAAAAGTTCGGATTTTGAAAATTTATGACAGTAAAAATTTAATGATGATTTTCAAAAATTAATTCGGAAATACATTGGTGAATAAAATATAGTCAAAGTAGAACATGTGAATAATATAAAATTTAACATGTTTCAATTATTTAAGAACGAAAGTAATATTATAGTAAAACATTGAAAACCAGATAACCAGACTAGAATGGCCAGTTCAAAAATGGGCTAGAACCGTTACTGTGCGATTTTGGTTCCGGTTCGAACAACGGGCACACCTACTAATTGAAGGACTGTCAGACACGCGCGATTGTTAACGCGTTAATGTCGACAATGACTTAGTATGTTTTATTTTGATTGAGATTTGCTGGACTTGTCTGGTCTGATATGTTCCGATTTGGTCTGATCGAGTCTAATTTGAACTGATCTGGTCTGATCTGGTAATTGTCTGATCTCTGCCACTCTGTGTATTATATGACTATCCAACCTGATTTGTTTTGGTCTACTTAAGTTTGGTCTGGTTATTTTAATTCTGATCTGATCTAGTTTGTTTAAGTTTAGTCTGGTCTGATCTAGTCTAATACTCCCTCCGTCCCGTTGGAAGGTTCCCATAGCAAAACGACACCGTTATTTAGGGAATAATTAAATACTCCGTAAAGTACTTCAATTATATTTTGAGAAATAATTTTAATAGGTATATATTATAATGTAGTTAGTATTGATAACTGTGATGTTATAAATATATTATTTTTAATATTTAATGATTAATTTGTCACTTAAGATTGTTAATTGTTTCCTAAAATAGAAATGAGAACCTTTTAACGAGACATCCAATAAAGGAAAGTGAAAATCTCGTAGTGGGACGTGTAGTACAGAACTGAGGACCGATTAGAGTATTCCTTTAATTCTGATTGGTGTGTTTAACTAAACATCCTTATGAGTCATTAACCGCGAAAGCAGGTTGGCCGTTGACTATGTAAACAGAGCAAGGTTTGTGTGGATGTGTTGTGTTGGCAACCAATAGACCGAGGAAAAACAGATTACAGATATATATTCCTTTATTTTCTTACACTAAAAATTACGCGGGACCCTTTAATCGAAGACCGCCAGATTCGTCACCCAATAACACAGTAACGCCGCACCGCAGCCGCAGCCGCATTACGGATCATCAAAACAACCAACACCTTTTTCAAAGTTCTCTTTAAGCTATCATAATAATTCTTTCTTTTCTTTCACAGTTGACAAAAGAAAAGATCTTTTTGGTGAAATACTTCATCGATTCTTCATCTGATCTGGGGTCTGGAGCTGTAGCTAGTTTGTGCGTGTGTCAGGAACTGGGTTCTCTGTGCACTGTGATTATAGATACTTTCTGCAATGTGTTCTGGAATGTGGAAGGTCCCAGGAGCTTCTGCTGATTCATTCTATGAAGTCCGCCCTGAATGCACAGATGTTCCCAACACCAAATTCAGAATCAAGGTTGGCATTTTGAATAAGCTTCCTTCCCATATTCCCAATCAACTCTATTTTTTGGCCTTTCCCAGTCTTGAGATTCCAAGAATTAAGAACTATGATAGAACCAGAGTATTTATGTAGATGTCATCTTTGAGATCAGATCTTTCACTGACATTACTTTCTCACTTGGATAATAGACATTAGGAAGTCTATCATTAGTGAATCAAAATACAATCTTGAGTGTGCATCTAGTTTTGTATGCTCTTTTGGCTACATTTTATTACTAATACTCTTGTATTTGTTTTACTTGATTTCAGTTTGTGTGAGTCCTTAGTAGAATTATTTAATGGTATTATGTCTAATGTGTTACGTAATATCTTTTTTCCGATAACAACATTGGATAATGTTTGTATACAGATGTAATCTAAATCCTATCATGGTAGTTTATTAGCTTTATATGGCATACTGCATATGTATATACATTTTGGACAAAATAAAGAGGGATTAATGTGAGAAATTAGAATGAATGTGCTGAATTGGGTTTGATCTAACGGTTCTAAAAGTGCCAATAATGCAGCAGACTGCGTGAAAACATGGCGGCAGTTTCATAAACAAGTGAACTTTTTTACCACTGCAAAATGAGCGGTATTTGAATATAAAAGTGCAGCATAGAGTATCAAAAGTAAATATTTTGCATATCTCGCGTTAAACACTAGTTTTATTTGAACCTCCCCCAATATATATTCCCACTGGCTTTGTGTAATACTGCTTTGTTGAAGCTATCAATATCTACTTGTTCAGGCTGGGAAGACCCTAAGTGCACGGAAATGGCGGGCTGCATTTACTCCAGAAGGGTATCTAGACATTGTGAGAATACTCAGCAGAGTATACCGTGGGGTGAGTTTTAGGTCATTGTCGGAAATTCTTTCTGATTATTTCAAAGAAAATATATATATTGGTTGATACATTTCGTTTGATTTTAATTTATTCAAGAGTGTATTAAGTTGGCATAATATCTACTTTCAAAATTTGTGACTGACTATATAGGGTATCCATCCCTCAATCAGAGGTGAAGTTTGGGAGTTTTTACTGGGGTGCTATGATCCAAAAAGCACTTTTGGTGAACGACAACAGTTAAGACAACGCAGGAGGTAAACTGCCTTCCTTACAGGCATGGACATAATTATTTATTGTTTACTCTATATCGTAAGGAGCTGTTTTGGCTTTCTGACTATATATTCTGATTTCTGAATTCCAGTCAATCTCATCCTCTTGGGGAATGTAAATATGTAAATTGCAATTCTATCAAAGAAAGAGACATTCATGGAAGGTGATGGAGTTTAGGATTGGATTGGGTTGATCAACTAGGCCACAAGGCACTCCGTCCAAGCCAAGTTAAAAGATCGAGTCCAACTCATCATTCTCTTTAACTTTTTTATGTGAACTAACAATGGAATACCATACCAATATACCATGATAGAGTAAATAATTGAATTCAATCCATCATTCTCTTTTAACTTCCAGTTTGGATTGCGGTTGCTGCAAGCCACACTAAATAATTGACTCCAATCCATCATTCTCTCTTTAACTTTTCAATGTGGGAGGCTAACAGTCTAACACTCGGATACCATGATGGAGTTTAGGATTCAAATAGGGTAGATCAATTGGGCCATAAAGCTGTTAGGCCAAACCATACCAAAATATAAATCTGATTTATTTGCTAGTTCAATCTAAGGTCTTGTTTATCCATCATTCTTTGCTTTTCTGATGTGGGACATAAACACAAGGATTTGAAATGTAGACTTAGCTGATAAAGTCTCCAACATAGTTGATTTCTTATTGCAAAGTTAAAAAAATAAAATCCAAATCACATGAATCTTAAATAATGAAACCTGTTATCTTTTCAGTAATTTCTTAGCGCAGCTTTCATGTGTGTGCTTCTAGGGAGCAGTATATGGTATTGAAAGAAGAGTGCCGCCAAATGTTCCCTATGATTGGAAGTGGAAGATTTATAACTGCACCTATAATCACTCAGGATGGTAATCCTATTCAAGATCCTCTAGTACTTCAAGAGGCAAGCAAAGCCAAGATGCCAAGGGAGAATGGTATGATCGGTGAAGATGATTGTGTTAATGTGAGGGAACTTGCAGTGAGTATATGTTAATGATTTTAGCCTTGTCATTAAGGTTCCTTAAACAACTCAGAGATGGTGAAGGAAACAGATAACAGAATAGTTCAGTGGAAACTCACATTGCATCAGATAGGTTAGTTTTCTGCAAAGACTATCGGATTCCTCGTTTGGCCTTTCCATTTACACTCATACTCTTCTGCCAGATCCATTGTTCCTATTTATGTGATTTTCAATGTCATAATTGTTTATTCTTTTGTGGTGTTAGAATAATTGGTGAATTAGGCTTTAGGTTGAACTAGCTAACAGACTGTATTCAGAGTTTTACTGTGATTTCACACAAGTATCTTATGAAATAGTTGAATGATCCATTCCATCCCTGAATTCTATCCTCATACTTCACTTAATTTGTCTAGTTGTACATCTCGAAGTCCATCCCCAACAGTTCATGAGTCTCAGCTCGGTTGTCCATCTGAAAGTCTGACCCTAGTAGCCCGTGGCCCATTTAACCCATTCAGTATGCATGTGACCAATTGGTTAGCTTCAAAATAGCCCAGTTACCCACTTGAGCAGGAGTGTTAGAGCTTCTCATATCGAATATTGATCAGAGAATAATTGGTTACTAACCATTGGGCTAAACGAGCTAATAGATTAGATTCAATACCAACCAAGTCATGAATTGTATCCATTAGTTATGAATTTATGTATCGATTCATGTTAGCCGTCCCCAAATTCTTTTGGGACTAAGGCTTGGATGTTGTTTTAGTTTTTTTCGTTCACTGTTTTGGTTAACGGTTTCTTGAGTATGCCACGTAACATTAATCTTTGATTAATATTCATGCTAGGACTTGATGTCATTCGGACTGATAGAACACTCATATTCTATGAAAATCAAGCAAACCTGGCAAAACTGTGGGATATCTTAGCTGTTTATGCCTGGTTTGATAAAGATGTTGGTTATTGTCAAGGTAAATACCTGCAATGCGCTTTTCATCATCTTTGTTTTTTCCAATGGGTTTCATTTTGATCAGTTTATGTAATTCTTTGTGCTGAGTTTTGAGCTTAAATATGGCGAGCAGGAATGAGCGACCTTTGCTCTCCCATGATAATTCTTCTTCCTGATGATGAGGGAGATGCATTTTGGTGCTTTCAGCACTTGATGCGTAGACTGGTGGGTATACTTTATCATATTTTTACAAAGGTTTATTACTGTTTTAACTCAAATGCATTTTTTGACGTATTTCTCTATGAAGTTAAAATATCCTAAAAAAACTCATCTGCTAACATCAGAAACTTCTTAATAATCTCAAACTTGTTTCACGGGTTATAAAAAACTTCCTGTCTTATCCTTTTTGTTTGTTTAACTACTTGATATTCAACAAAGGTTCCATGTGCCAATAAATAAATTTACAAAGAGAAAGAAAGAAAGAAAGAAAGGAGTATCACCGTTTCGCCAATTGGAATTATCTGCTATTTTCCACTTAGTTTTTTGAATCTGTACCATTATTTTTCTTAGTTATTTAGCCACAAGAAATGCTATTGATCCAAATATATTCTCTATGTGAGTTCTTTGTTGTCATTATAGATAAACACAGCCTTTAGTCGCTAATGTATCTGCTTGTTTGGAATTATGAAGAGACGAAATTTCAAATGCACTGAGACCTCTATTGGAGTAGAAGTGCAGCTTACTAATTTGGCCACAGTAACCCAAGTTATTGATCCTAAACTCCATAAACACTTAGGTATGCATTTTTTAAAAATAAACTTCTGACATTAGACAACTTGGTTATCATTGGAATCGTTGATAACTTCCATTACTTGTATATGGAGTACCACTCTACCCCTTTACTTTTTGGACTTGTATTCATTGAGTTCAACTAAACTGTCTGCGCTTCTTTGTTATGGAGCAACAGTCAGTCTATGCAATTTTGGACGCGATTTTCACTATGGGTCATCCGGAAACAGTCTCTCTGTGCTTTAGTACAGGGGTAAGACTGCATACATCCGACCCCCCCCTTACCCCACCGTAGGTGGGAGCCTTTGCGGCACTGGGGTAAATGAAAATGATGATTCAATGAGTTTAACAAGCGTTCTCCATGGTTTAACGAGTCTCTCTTCTTTTTTGTGTTTGTTTTTATTATTTTATTTATAGTTTTTGAAGTTTCTTATTGCATAAACCTGAGAGAACTAGTCACTTTATATTTTCGCCGTGCAGAGACCATAGGTGGAGGTGATTATCTTTTTGCCTTCAGAATGCTAATGGTTTTGTTCCGCCGTGAATTCTCTTTTGGTGACTTGTTGTTCCTATGGGAGGTAACACTGAAATTATTTCTATAGTGGACCTGTCGCTGTTATTTTTTAAGTACTTGAATGTTGTTGCTGTTGTTACCAATATTATTACTGCGTATTATTATTATGGAGTATTATTATTATTTTCTCCTTATGAAGTACTGTTCTTTATTTGATATGCTGATTGTATGAATAGATGATGTGGGCTCTAGAGTATGACCCAACATTGTGTTTGGTGAATGAAGGCCCTGCTGCCTCAGCTAATGAAAAATCTATAGGATCAAACGGGAAAGTAAAGGCAAGAAGTGAGTACGGGAAATATGAGAGAGCTTACATGAAGAACACAGGGAAAAAAGTGGTGGATCCTCTCCCTTTCTCCGTTTTTCTCGTAGCCAGTGTCCTCAAAGAAAAAAGTCCCAAGTTGTTGGCTGAGGCCCGAGGACTAGATGACGTTGTAAAGGTAGTTAGCAGCTTCCTCATCTTATTATTATTTTTAAATAAATAAATGGGAAATCCATTGCATAGTAGCCCGCGTTAAAGATACAAACTCACATATATAAGGTGTTGAAATATTTCTCCCATTAGGTTGACTGTTTAAGATATAACTTCAAGTCTTAATATGGTATGATACCAATGGTATCTATTAAATTCAAAATGAGACTCAAAATAGCACACCTTCTCTGCTTCAACGAGCCACCAAGGCATGTAAAGCCAACTCATACCAACCAAATATAAAATACAAAATCACATATAAGACCTTGAGGTACTGCTCCTATTAAATTGACTTATTAAAGTGGAACTCTAATCTTAATAGCTAGTTAATTGTTTCTAAATTGGTTTTATTTACCTCCTGCTATTTATATATCTATATACAAGGGTCCTAGCTAATTTGTATCTCTTTATCATTTTCAGATATTAAATGACATAACAGGCAGCCTAGATGCAAGAAAGGCATGCTCTGGTGCACTGAAACTTCACAAGAAATACCTTAAAAGGGTGAAGTAGCAGAACATATAGGATCTAATGATCTATGGCCACTTGAAGAAGCTAATAATGCTGCAAATATTTAGTGAAAGCAAGATGCCAATATATGTGTGTGCCTGCTGTCTGGAATTGTGTTCCGTGCCAGAAGTTCTTTTCTCGCTTTGTTCTAGTAGCGAGCGGTTTGAATGCTGCACAACCTAACACGAGATACTTAGGATCGCCCTAAAGTGTATATTTTGGTACAAGTTTTAGCCAAATACAAATATGTGTGTGTGGTATTCCTCGGTAGAGCTTTTTAGTGCACAAATGTGGTTGTTTGTGTGAGATTGATTTCCATGTACTAACAACTTAAACATTCCTCTTTAATATAGTCTGTTGAAATGCGACTGTAATTTTTTTTTAGTTTTACGTTGCCCTGTCCCTTTCGTTTTCGCGTATTTTTCATTTTTATCTTCAACTTATCTAGAGTTAGCTAACTTTATGAGATCCAGGGATTTAAGGAACGGCTGGAAAACCAGCCACTCACTACTTCGCTCAAACCATGGCAAGGTTTGAAGTGTATCATGCAATCTCTATATTTCATATTAATAGTTGCATGAAACTGAAGTTGATGAATTGTGACTAAATGCAATTAAGCTCCTCACTATTTTCAAAACATTTGAGATTTTTGAGTTGTGTTTCTACTTGGCTTGAACTAGATCATAATCGTGTGTCGGATCACCATTTTGTTTCAGCTGATGGATTTGGCTATATGTCCTGTCTTATGATGCCAAATGTGTTCCTTATGATTTGGCACTTAGAGGTATGTGAGGTAGCATTTCTTGATAAGATTAAACCTTTGAACAACATGGAGACTGATGATAGAGAATCTATTGGTGGTTACCAATGCATATTATGAAAAACTACTCCTTTTGATACCAGTTGTAGGTTGTCTGGTACTCTGGTTCAATTCAATAGACTGTAGCTAGTTAAAATTATTATTAGTGTTCAATACTTCAATTCAAAGCAAACTTGTGTTTCTAGCTTCAGTTTCATGGTATCCACTATCCATTTATTCCTTGGAACTTACATGTTATTTATTCAAGTAAATATAAAAAATCCCAATAGATGGAGGGTGTGGATTTGTTCATCCTAAAAGCTTACATGTTATTTATTCAAGTGAATTCTATTATTATTATTATAATATAATAGCAAAAGAAAAGCAAGTTCCAGTCCAAAATTGTACACAGAGGAAAGAAGCCGAGATTAATTAGCAAGAAAACAAATTAGCAAGAGATAGGCAGCTAGCTATTTCTAGAGTATCGTCAAATGGGAAAGGAAATCCTTCTGTCCACAACTTTCGTTTGCATCATCTTTAAACAAATGGGTCAGGTCAATATGTTTATTATATTAGACTCCTCTAATTCTAGATTTTTAATTTTTTAGATCAAAGATAATTTTTTCGAACTATTATTTATTTATCAATGATATATATTAGGCTTTTCTTAAAATATCCAACTATATTCGAAGAAGAGTATATATATTTAGACATTTCTTTTGCATTGCTTAACATTTCTTTTTCTCCTTTTATTTTGGTATGTTTTAATAAATTCGAAACTTATGTATTAAAGAGGCTACTTTATTTGGTATAGGCTTCTTATTTATGTTTAACAATTGCAATTTATTAGTACCATCAAGTAAATTACAAAACTAAGTTTTAGTGTTTCTCATAAACCTTCTTCCCTTCAAAGCACATGTCAGTTATTAATTGTTTTGTATTTTTGATTAAACGAAATTTTTGTTTTTAGTTGGGTGACTTTAGTTTACAAAAACATCAATCAGGGAAAATTATTGGACAGATGCGTTGCTTCCATGTTAGTCATTGGACAGATTTGACTGTTTATAATAGTTGGGCTAATAATAAAAAGGGAATTGACTAAACAATTTACCGTAGTTGACTATGCCATGTTTTTAAATTGTAGTTTAAAAATTGGACAGATTTGATGTTTACATTCCTGCCTATTCCAGATTATTGTGATAGGTGATGACCAAATTATATAAGAAAGACTCATCATTCAATTTAGAAGAAAATTTTAGGCTCATTCAGTTATGAATATTTTGTACTTCATTTGTTAATTTATGGGATTTTCACCTGTTTTAGGGAGATGTTTACACACCATGTAGGAAAATTATAGAGTAAATTCTGTGGATAGGAGTAAATAAACCAAGAAATGCATAAATGGGAGTCTAGGTTTTAATAGGACTGAAAGTAACATGAGTTGATCAATTTGCCCTTTAAAATTAGAATCCCCAACTCCTGTAGGTCATCTTCTCAGCAACGTACGAACATCACACACCCATCATCACCTGCAGACCCCAACAACAATTGTCGTAGGCCATCTCCACCGCCACCGGTCGCCATCTGCCGGAGATCCGTCGGCCTTACCACAACATCCAGAATCCCGCCACCTAACGTCGCTGCTAGTCGCCGGAGATCCGGCGATGCAAAAAAAAATCAGAATTTTTTCTCAATATTTCTGCCCCCACCGCCGTCACATGCCGCCTCTATCGGTTGCTCTACCCCTGTTGCCGCCACCCATGTCATCGCCGGCGAGAAATCTTCCCCCACCAGCTGCCACCTCTGCCACCACCACTATTACCATCTCCACCGCCAACGCCTCCGCCTCCATGGTGCCATCTCCACCACCTACGTCGCCACCACCATAGGCGCGCCATCGATGGTTTTATCCACCGCCTACCATATGGCAAATCTCTGGTCTGACCTCTGATTTGTTGTGGATATCATATAAGTGTCGTAGTTAGATTGCCATTTTAATAACATTATTGTCATTCTGATAGAATAAGATGTCATTTTCAGATAAAAACATGGCATTACTGTATTTTCAAAGAAGTTATATTGCCATCTTTGTAACATTGTGTCATAACGATGACATTAAGTGTGGAAATGAGTTATGGATATCATATAAGTGTCACAGTTAGATTGTCATTTTAATAACATTATTGACATCCTAACATAATATATAAGATGACATTTTCAAATAAAAAAACATGGCATTACTGTATTTTCAAAGAAGTTATATTGCCATCTTTGTAACATTAGTGTCATAATGATGATATTAAGTGTGGAAATAATATTTGCACATAAAAAATAGGTCTGTTGGGATAATGGGTCGGGTCCAAGAATATTGGCCCGTTACACCTGAGCTTTGGCCCGACCAAGCTCAGAACACAGTCCGACTAGCAGATACTGATCCGGAATTATCGAATTACTTATCGGGTTGACTGGCCCATTAACGTTAGTATTAGTTGATAAATCGGGTCAAACCGATGTAACATCTAATTGGTGGCCTGTCGTATACGCCTATAAATAGGCCACCAACCCTTTGTATTCTGCTAAGTTATTCTCACTATACTGAAATGCTGTCAAATTCTCTACCCGGGTTATTTTCTACCAACATTTGTGCTTTCATTGAGAGTAATGTCTCACATTCTAGGTAGAAACTTGGAGAGATTGGAGCAAAAGTGAAATCAGATTCACCACAATCATAGAATCATAAGAAAATCATCACAATGTCACATAACCTTACAATGATTGGAAAAAAAAAAAAACGGGAATCAAATATGGAATTACAAATCTCAAAGGAATGGAGTTCTGCTGGAATTCTTTTAAAACAAAGGCGCCTGGGAGAATCGATCCATACACATGCGCAAGAAGAAGAGCTCCAGATTCGCACCTGCCACTGTCCCCGAACGGTGGTCACGTGGCAACGAGGATTCAGCCACCCTAGCCGTTCAGTATCACCGTTCCACCTTCGTCGCAGCAGCGCCAATCTCCACCTGTTCCTCTAGATCCGAGCAGTGTGTGGTCATATCCCTGAGCCACTTACTCCAAGCCTCGCCCGCTGCTTCAACGCTCGGCCTCCCTCTCAAAGCATCGAAGTATCACCAAGTGCGGCTGTCCCCAGCGCTACCATCCCCTCTCTTGGTCGCACGCTTCCGGCCGGCGGATAACTGTTTAAGCAAGAACTAAACTAATCTAAAAGTATATGTATGTCAGGATCGTACAAGAAACAAAATGTAAAAACTGAAGATTAATGAACGAAATATATTAATCTGAGTGTATGAATGAAAGAATGGTACTACAAGTGCATAGATAATCAAGCAAGATTGATCCTCCCTCTATTGTAAGTTCTCCTATATTTATACAACAATATTACTCTATTTAGATGGTTCAACCGTCCGCCGGAAATGTCTCCTAATTCCTAGGCTCCGTCATTCGGTTGGATGTTCCTACTAAGTCTATTCTTATCCGATTCGTTTGTCTTTTGTTCAATTGGACTTCGTCTCTTAGGGATGGGCCGATCTATTTACATTTCCGTGGCCCAACAATTGCCCCCAATTCAAAGAAGAGGAGGGCGCCAATTTCGAAAAATTAAAGGGCCAACCGATTCTTTGAATTTTTCATCATGATATTGCCTTGGAATGTGTAAGGCCGTCAGTCGTTCAGTATCAATCAATCACTAATCTCTTCCTCCCCTAGTGAATTAGTTCAGCAAGAAAAACTTCCTCTCTTCTCCTTTTGATTTCTTGCAAATCCCGGCCAGCGCCTTGGTTCTTCATGGCTTCACAACCCTTCATTCCGCAACACATTTTAGATCTGAAGAACTCAAAGCAAGCGAAACTTTCAGAACATCATGTCGACTTTATCAGGTCATCTATCGGCTTTCCCCATGATGCGGTTATTCATTTTCCAGCAGCGAACGAGAGGATAGATTGGTTTTGTGATGGTTGGGTAAACTTCTTGATGTACCCTTTCAAGATAGGTATGAAATTCCCATTCTCACGTTTAGTCCGAGACTTTCTCGCTTTCGTCAGAGTATCGCCTTCCCAAATCATGCCCCAAGTATGGAGGGTACTCAGAACTTTAGAGGTCTTGAGTGAGAAACATAGTTTGGCCCTGGATTTTGAAGACTTGGGTTTCACCTACGACCTCAGATCTTCAGGAGCCGGTCGCTTTACTTTAGCAGTGAAGGAAGGAAAAGAAGCCCTCATTCATAAGGTGGACAAAGCTAATGACCGGGGATGGATGAATTTGTACTTTTTTGTAAACAAAGAGTCGTTAGGTACTGACGGATCATTCCTGGAAGAGAATTTACACAAAGGTTAGTTTCTCTTTCAAATCGTGTTTCTTGACTTGCTCGGTTGATTTCCGTCTTCTATTTTTGTTATCTGATTTGTAACTTCGGGTGTAGGTAATGGAAATGGGTAATTTCAGAATATTTTTTGCGTTCTCGGATATATGTATAAAACTTGATGTATTTGGCATTGTTTCTCCGTGACGTGCAGAGAGGAAGACTATTCCACTGGTTCCCGGTCTGCATTCTGAGGAGAGAAATGCCAGGATTCTTTCGTTCCCTATCGAGGATCGAACTTATGTGAATCTGGTGTCAGACTTTCAAGGTACGTCACCTCTTCCTGTTGAGTCTGATTATGTGGGGTTAAGGCGGTCTCGCAGGCATACCCCTACCGCACACGATTTGAATCAGAATTCACATGTCGTTTCCGTAGAAGATTCAGGTCAAGGATCTGAAGCTTCCAAAGATGATGGAGAGGGTATGAGCGCTTTCGTCCCTTTACAAGTCGTTTTTCCCACCGTTAAGAATACTCCCGTGCCCCCATTCAAGGATTCTACTCCTATTGCAGGTATTCTCTGAGGTTTATGCTCTTCTTTATTAGTGCTGGATCGATTACCCTTAACTTTTATTCCTCTTTATTTGTGTAGCTACTTCATCAAGCACTTCTCGTTCCGTTCCTTCTGACCACGAGTTGTTGGCTATGGCATCGAGGAGGAAAAGGATGCCCTCTAAATTGTCAGCAAATCCTCCAAAGGTTCCCAAGTACCCAACGCCTGATACTGCTACCACTCCTAATGCCCTCTATGCGAAGCATGGGGTTGATACCCGGGCGAAGCCACCACAAGCTATGCACTTATCACTTTCCCCGGAATTCTGTGAATTGAAGGACGCTCTGACCATGAAAGACGAAATGGCTCAATTTCAATTGGCCTCCTCTGCTCCCTTTTTTGACTGCTTGCCCCCCACCGGTGTTATTGCTGCTTCCTCCGCTTACGCGTTTCAGGTGTTGATGAACCACCATGCTTAATGAACTTCCTTCCCTTTTTACTCTTGACTAATTTGTCTTGTCTTTTTCAGCGTATTCAAGCGAGCCTTGTTGCTGCTGCTCGTGTATCTTTACTAGAGAGAACCATTGATGAATTGAAACAGAAGGAGATTTCCCTAGTATCTTCACTTCATGAGAGTGCAAAGTTAGTTCGAGAATTGGAAGACAAAAGTTCTACTCAATCTGCTCAGATACTGCAACTCAACGCCAGAGTCAAATCCTTGGAGGCTTACGGTCGATAAAAGAAACAAGAAGTAATTGACGCCGCTTGCTATTATGTCTGGAAGACCAGGGGTGAGCTGATGACATCTTTTATTAAAGGAGAAATGACACACCGATCAGCGGAACAGGATGTAGCTACATGGCATAAACTGAGGGAAGAGATGGATCATCCTGTAGGAGAAGACGGCTTCGAGGTGGGTCATTCCGACGATGAGATTGATCTTTAGTGTTTACCGGTCAGATGATCATGCTTCCTTTTTTTTGTAAGTCTGCTGGATTACAAACAATCCCTGCTTTTGAATTACTCTGACACTTTCCGACCTGCGTTAAGGGTTCCCGGTGGTTTATCCGGGACTTAACGCCTTATTGCGCTACTCATGGTCTTCACGCTTGGCGGTTAAGCCTAGCCCTGTCCACACCATCGTGTGAGTCTGTCACTGTTTTTGCCATCGCTTGGATCATACTTTTGTTCATGTGTATTCTGTTATGTATGCATGCCCGCTGTTTATGTGTGCAACATGTCACGCTGTGTCATAAACGTGTGTGTGTTTTGGCCAAAACGTATTTGGTTTCATGAAACTTCATTTATGGTTTTTTCATAATGAGTTCCATGTCCCATGTATGCTGATGTTTTGTCATAAGCAGATCTGATGTTCTATCTATTGTTCTGGTATTGTGTCACCTGGTATTTTAACCTGTCATAGTCCTGCGATGATACCGCACCGTTGAGATCGGCCGTTGGCTTGGGGCCAACGGCCCTCCGACGATCAAGTTAGTGAACGTTGAATTGTATTTACCATATTCAAGATTACGTGAACTGTAACTAATTACCTGTGATGTGACCATTCTTGTTTGCTTTCCTGTATTTATAATTATTGTCAGGGTTGGTCGTTGGCCTTAAGCCAACGGCCCTCCGACGGTCAAGTTAGCTATTTCATTTAGCAATAGGGATAGAAATGTAGAAAAGAAAAAGAACTCTTGTTAAAAATGAAAACGTTTTAAATGTACCGCATTCCAACTTCGAGGGACTCGTTTACCATCAATTGATTCCAAGCGGTATGCTTCCTGACCAATGACGTCAATGATTTTGTAAGGTCCTTCCCAATTAGGACTAAATTTCCCGGCTGCTTCATTGCCAAATGCTCTCCTCAAGACCCAATCTCCCTTTTTGAACACCTTTGCCCGGACATTTTTATTATAGCTTCTCGCAACCATTTGTTGATATGTCTGCAAACGGATCTTGGCTCGTTCACGGATCTCGTGAATGGTATCCAAGTCGTGCGCCAACTCCACATTGTTCAACTCCCCAGTCATGAGTCCATACCTTGAAGAAGGTACTTCAATTTCAGCAGGAATGACCGCTTCGCAGCCATACACCAAAGAGAATGGGGTCTGTCCGGTTGCATTTTTCGGAGTTGTCCTGTATGCCCAGAGTATCAAGGGCAATTCGTCAGCCCACCGGCCTTGCGCCTTTTCAAGCCTTTTCTTTAAGTTGGCAATGATAATTTTGTTGCTAGACTCGGCCTGCCCATTAGATTGCGGGTACCTAGGTGTCGACGTTTCCAATTTGATATTGTACTTCTCACAAAATCGTCTGGTCTTAGCGCTTATGAACTGAGATCCGTTGTCACAAACGATCTCTGAAGGAACGCCGAATATGCAAAGGATGTTTCTCTTAATAAACGAAATTACCTGGTCATCTCGTATCTGCCGAAAAGGCTCAGCCTCCACCCATTTTGAAAAATAATCCGTCATTGCTAGCATATATACTTTCTGCCCCGGTGCTTCTGGCAATTTTCCTACAATATCCATGCCCCACTTCATAAAGGGCCATGGTGATAGAACTGGATGAAATGACTCGGAGGGCTGATGACGAATTGGTCCGTGCATCTGACAAGGCTTGCATCTTTGGGTGAAATTGGTTGCATCTTCTCTCATGGTTGGCCAGTAATATCCGAATCTAAGAGCTTTGTTAGACAGACTTCGCCCTGCTGCGTGATTGCCACACTCCCCTTCATGAAGGTTTTTCAATACTTTGGCGGCTTCTTGCGGTGTCAGACATCTTTGAAATGGACCTGCGACAGATCTTTTAAATAGCACACCATCAATCAGTAGAAACTTACTTACCTTGGATAGGAAAGCCTTGGCCTCTTTCTTGTCTTCTGGGAGAGTATTGTGCTTTAAGTACGCTATGTATTGTTGTGTCCAGTCGTCTTGTGCTGGGTTTTAATGGTAGAGGCAACCTCTGATCTGTAAATTGCTGGGCTCATCAAGTGCACATAAGGGATGTTGCGATTGATTTCTGCCCCCAGACATGATCCGACGGCGGCCAGAGCGTCAGCTTGTGTGTTTTCTTCACATGGGACTTGTTCAAGGTTTATTTCGTCAAATGCCGTTATCAATTCTCGGACGATTTGCAAATAAGATGTCATCTTGGGGTCCTTTGCTGCATACACACCGTTAGTTTGATTAATTATTAGTAAAGAATCACATTTTACCTCCAAGATTTTGACGCCCAAATCCCTTGCCAATGTGAGTCCGACGATTAGCGCCTCGTATTCTGCCTCGTTGTTCGTAGCGGTGAAATCGCAGTGTACTGCTTGGAGCATGGTGTCCCCTTGTGGTGACTTCAGTACCACGCCCAGACCTGCGCCGTTTTGGTTTGATGCTCCGTCAGTGTGCAATGTCCATTTTTGCTTTGGCAATCCATCGATCAGAGTGCAAATCTCTTTTTCTGCTTCCTCTTGGAGCTTTGGACTGAAGTCTGCCACAAAATCTGCAAGTGACTGTGATTTCAAAGCTATTCTCGGTTCGAATCTTATGTCATAATCTCCAAGTTGAATCGACCATTTAGCCATGTGACCTGTCAATTCTGGTTTCCTCATGATTGACTTCATGGGATAGTTAGTTCTAACACAAATGGTATGTGATTCAAAATAAGGACGTAATTTAATTGAAGCAACGATCAAAGCTAAAACTAACTTTTCAAGTAAAGCATACCTGGATTCCGGGCCATTTAGGGATTTACTTACGTAATAGACTGGAGTTTGCTGCCCCTGCTCCTCTTTTGTCAGTACTGCGCTGACGGCGTGCTCCGAAACGGCCAGATAAAGTTGCAGCTCTTCGTCATTTTTAGGTTTTGCGAGCAATGGTGGCGACATCATATATTCTTTTAATTGTTGAAGCGCCTGTTCGTGTCGGTCTGTCCATTCGAATTTTTTGTTTTTTCTCAAGACGTCATAAAACAAATGGCACCTGTCTGATGACTTTGAAATGAAACGATTCAAAGCCGCAATTCGTCCTGTTAACCTCTGGATATCTTTGACGGATTTTGGAGATTCAATATCAATAATTGCTCGTATTTGTTTCGGGCTCGCCTCTATTCCTCGTTCACTGACGATATATCCTAAAAATTCTCCCGACGTCACTCCAAAAGTACATTTTGCTGGATTGATCTTTAGGTTATACTTTTTCAGTCTTCTGAAGGGTTCCGTCAGATGATAGATATGATCCTCTTTTTTCTTTGATTTGACGATCATGTCGTCAATATAAACTTCCATGGTGTCCCCCATCAGATCTTTGAACATTAAGGTGACTAGTCTCTGAAACGTCGCACCTGCATTTTTTAGTCCAAAAGGCATAACAATATAACAATACGTACCTGTTTCAGTGATGAAGGCTGTGCTTTCTTGGTCATCGGGGTGAAGCCGTATTTGATGATATCCACTGAATGCGTCCATGAAGGATAACATTTCATGCCCTGCCGTAGCGTCAGCCAAAGCGTCGATGTGTGGCATCGGAAATGAATCTTTGGGACACGCTTTGTTCAGGTCAGTGAAGTCCACACAGACTCTCCATTTGACTGGCTTGCCTTCCTCCTGCCCTTTCTTTTTCTGAACAACAACAACATTAGCTAACCAATCGGGATACTTTACCTCCTTTACTTTACCGATTCGAAGCAGCGTATCAACTTCTTGGTTTATAATGGCATTCCTTTCTTTTGCAAAGCGTCTTCTTTTTTGTCTGACGGGTTTGTGTAATGGGCTGACGTTTAACCTGTGAGTTATGATATTAGGATCAATACCTGTCATGTCGTCGTGACTCCATGCAAACACGTCCTTATGTTCTTTGAGGAAGTTTATCATTTCGTCTTTGAGGTGCTTTGGTATGTCTTTCCCGATGCGGAAGACCCTTTCTGGATGTTCTGGGTCGATGGCGACTTCTTCTGTTTTGGCGTCATCTTCCACCAGAGCGGGACCACCCTTTAATTGCTATGCGATCCTGGAGGCAGTTTGATCCGCAGTTGGCTTCATCGCCGTTTGGTAGCAAGATTTGGCTGACTGTCGACCCCCCCTGATGCTTTGCACTCCCCACGGCGTTGGGAACTTGATTATTTGATGATAAGTCGATGGAATTGCCCCCATTTGGTGCAACCAGGGAGTTCCCAAGATCATGTTGTATGCTGGTAGGCTTTCGACTACGTCGAATTTGACCTGCATGTTCAAACCATGGGTATATACGGGTAATGAAATATTACCTACGGTTTTGCTCGGCTCTCCATTGAATCCGACCAAGCTTGACCCAGACCCTGTTATATCTTTGGGTCAGGTCCAATAATATTGGCCCGTTACACCTGAACTTTGGCCCGACCAAGCTCAGAACACAGTCCGGCTAGCAGATACTGATCCGGGATTATCGAATTACTTATCGGGTTGACTGGCCCATTAGCGTTAGTATTAGTTGATAAATCGGGCCAAGCCCATGTAACATCTAATTGGTGGGCCTGTTGTATACGCCTATAAATAGGCCACCAACCCTTTGTATTCTGCTAAGCTATTCTCACTATACTGAAATGCTGCCAAATTCTTTACCCGGGTTATTTTCTACCAACAAGGCCATTATTAGTATTGCATTAATAAAGGAGTATTATTTTCAGTAATGCCACGAAAATTATAAAAGTAATTTGAAAAGTTACAAAAAATTGATTGAAATTCATATAAAAAATTATAATCTTATTGTAAAAGATAAAACATTTCAGATTATTTAATCATCCTTGTTAAGTCAACTAATTAAGAATTTTAGAAAAGAATTGATCGGATCGGAGACGGTAATTACTTTTTCTTCCGCTCTTCAAGTTCACCGGAAATTAGAGTCAAGAAGAGACGTAAATTAGAAAAATAGAATATTGGACAAGAAAGACAAGAGATAGAGAAGGAGGGGGGTGGGAGAGTAAATGGAGATGAGATAAGATGGGGGGTGGGTGGGGTGCGTATAAGAAAGGAAAATAAGAGGAGAGAGAAGATGGGAGGGGTGGGAGGGGTGATGCGTGAAAGGAAGAAAAAGAAATAATAGGGTGAGTTGGAGGACAAGAAAAGAGGGAGAAGGGAAAGGAGGAAGGAAGAGGAAAACTTTTTGCGTGACAGCATGGATATGAATGGAATAAAATTAAAAAAGATCCTATTTGCGGATCAAAATTAAATAAGATCCTATTCTTGCACAACCCAGCGCTTGCTCGCACTTCCCCTGCTGATTGTCTTCTTTATTTTTTTCTTCTTTCTCATTGATTACTTTTAAATTTTTTTATTAAAAACCTTCATATTCTCTATTTTCTCATCTATAGTTGCACACCTCCACTCATCATTCCACCTTCGCTTTTTCATTCTTATGTTACTTTAGTTTTTTCATTATCAAAAGAAAACATATTTCCAAATAATTATTTTAATTTAGGAACAATGAATCAATGATATACTTATCAATTTTGAGATTAAGTTTTCATCGTTTCAAAAGAAATTAATTATGTTTTTTTCTATCTTTGTCCTTATTCATATACTTTTTTATTCTTTTTTGCTTCAACTTAAATTACAATAAAAAAAATAAATTATTTTTCTTCAAAATAAATAATTTTATATTTTATACACTTGTGTGATTTATATTTCAACATGTGTGAGTTGTGTTTATAGAAAATTCCTGGAATTACATTTGATAGTATATGAAGTCACATCTGTGTATACGTGAGTTACATCTTAATGTACGCAAGTTACACCATGAAATAAATTCTGCTAGTGATCAAACAATTATTTTTAACTATATCAATTTTTATAACCCTAAGATTAAAAAACGTATTCACTATTTACAAAAAGTAATTGAGCAATTAGGATTAGCTAATTCATTCTTCAGATGTACACCTTGGAGCAAGTTATATCCTTCTTACACATGATTTACATTTTTCATAATGTGGGTTACATCACAATGAATTACATTTGAATACACTGTATTTACATTTAATAATAGCGCGAGTTACATACCAAAACAAAGGATTTACATCACGAAAAAATGGAGACAAATGCCTGAATATTGTTCACGCGAATTTTATCCTTGAGAGTACGGTGCTCACCATGTACGGTGTACCACTTCAATAATAACTAGGCCATATAGATAAAAAATCCAATTCATTGTAGCCAAAAAATAGATAAAAACCACTTTTAAAGTAGTTTTATTACCATTTTTACAAAGGTATTATACATTATAAGGTTACCTTGATCGACCATTAATATACATGGGTTGGTAGCATTCTTTTAATTGTATTAGTTGGCATAATGGTAAATAAAATTACATATGTGATATAATTGAAATATAATTGTGTGTAATTATAATTCTAATTAAATGAGTTATTGGATGATTTTTCTTCGGGTGTTAACAATAATACTTATATTGAGTTTTTTCATTCTTTTCATGTATAGAAAATATCAATCCTAAAAATGACAAACATGAGTGTGAGTTATTGATCGAATTTGTTTAAAAAGCTTAAAAAGACATTCTAATTTTTATGACCTAATATACAAACTCCCTTTTAGCTTAAAAAGCTATATATATAACATCGGTATTATATTTATACTTTTATAAAATATTGGGAAAGTTCCCGAAACAGAACTAAAACAGTTTCAAAATTCTAAAATAGGACCGTCATGTTTTTAATTCCCAAAATAGGACTAATTACTGTCATGTTTAGAAAATACTGCCATGTTTGAAGTCTGGTACTGCCAAAACATGGCAGTAATTGGTCCTATTTTGGGAATAAAAACATGGGAGTACTATTTTGGAATTTTCAAACTGTTTTAGTCCTATTTTGGGTAATATCTCTAAAATATTTTGTGTTTATCATTTAAATAAAAGATTTTATCCGTGCATCGCATGGGTGAAATACTAGTAATTAATAAAAATCCTAATCATGGTATCCGCTATCCATTTATTCCTTCGAACTTACATGTTTAAAGCTTTGGTTGAAAATATTTTTAATTGTAAAATTATAATTTTTCAAAGTGATGGAGGGTGTGAATTTGTTAATTCTCATATGCAGCAATTATTTTCTGAACACAATATATATTTGAGAAAATCCTGCTCTGACACTCCCCTACAAAATGAGGTTGCTGAACGCTAATAATATACACATTTTAGGAATATAAGTGTATTCTAGAAACTATTGTATATGTCATGACTCCTTAAGGAGTAACCTTTCTCATTACTTCACATGGTATCAGAGCAGGAAAAATAAGGTGGTAGTTAAAGGGAGAGTGAATTCCTCTATATATTGGATGATCGATATATACCTTATATATTATAAAAACATAAATGTTTTGTTTTTAATTTTGCACAATTCTATATTGAATTATATATTTATAAACTACTTATCTTTATTTTTTATTTGTTTGACTAATATCAAAGGTGAAAGGCCCCACTTTTTTAATCTCAATCAACACCATGTTGATTTCGCATTACGGGCATATATCTTACATGACTTGATTTAAAATGTGAGTGATATTTAGAATGTTTTTAATTGAACTGATTTCAATCGAGATAGATTCAAACAAATTAGATCAGATCAGACTAGACTGGATTTAAATAATAATAGTAGTAAATACACATTTATCGGTCGTTCACCAGACCTGACTAGATTATTTTTTAATTTTACATACATAATATTGGTGGCATACTAGATTATTTTTTAATTTTACATATATAATATTTGTGTCATATGAAAGATTTTAAAAAATTATTTAATTTGATATAAATTTTATAAAAATAGGAGCAAAAAAAGTTATAACATTTCATAAAAAAGGAATCAAGTAAGAAAACTTATCTTGGGCGGACAAGAGGGAAGGAGACTGCACAAGACACAATTGACATCAAAAGGGGGCCACCATGTCTATTTCCGCACAAATTGGGTGTGTTGATTGTATCCCTCCATAATTGGAGCTATACTCATCCAATTGGAGTGGTTGAGACATCCTTGGACAGCTCTTGAAGTATACTTTCATTATAGCTTCACTTCTGGAGAAGAAGATAGAGTTATACAAACAAAAAGGGAGGTAGAGTGAACTGCCGCATACAAGCTCGAGCAGTTGGAGTGTTGAGATTGTTTACTCCATATCTTGAGCACCACTTATCCAAATTAGGCGTGTGAGGTGTCTAAAGAAATCTATCAAGATGAGGATTCTGTAAAGGTTCAGTTTTCAGAAAACGGAGTAGTTTAAGGTCTTCAAATAATCGAAGGCAGACGCTACCTCGCAGAACACATTCTCTAGAGTGAGTTGATCCAAAACCTATCTTTTGATTATCTAAATCATATGAACGATTGAGGAAACTATTCTACACTATTACAAGTGTAGAATATGTTCTTGACACGGTTATTTTATGGATTTAAAGGTTGGACACTAACCTAATATAAACCCTGAAAGGTTAGAGAGTGAATTCACCGAAAACACCCTTTCTAGGGACTATTTTCACACCTCTTGTTAGGGGACGATTCCATACTTGGAGGAGGTATTCTAGCCACAATTTTAAGCAAGGAATCAGTTCTCAACATTCCTTGGCCGAAGCTTGGACTTTTGGATTGAGAAAGGAAAATTAGCTCATTTGAGGTGAGGATCGACATCTATTTGCTTAAAACTTGTAGGTTAAACATGAGATTATCTAAATGTCTAAATCACGCTTTCATGGATTATGATGCTTAAATATTGATAAAATATGAATATATTTGATAAGGAATGAACTTGATAATGATTTGAGACTATATTGATAATATGGAGTTAAATGAACTCTTAATGGACTATTAAGATAAATAGGCATTTTTACTCATGTATGAATAGTGTAGATATATAAATGAATATTTATATATTGAAATTGGATACTTATGTTTCTGCCACATATCTCCAAATATGTTGAGACTCATAAATAAGAATATTTGATTTGATAAGAATAATCTTAATAGTATTGAGATACTAGTTAATGATTGTTTGTAAATGTTTAATAGAATTGATTCTAAGGTTTGGATTGCATGTGAAGCACTTGAATAGACTTCAAGTGTGTAAATTGATTTAGTATAAGCTAAGATCAAATATGAGCAGTCCTTATGGATGACCCAAACTAGTTTATTGATATGTCAATTCTAGGCATAAGAATTGCTTAGGAATTGGGTTATGATGAAATTAGAGCTGAACTCTATGATTGCATGGAAACGATGTTGAATCCAGCTCTTGCCATGCAATTGTGACAAGTTGAACCTGAGTTTATGACTTGTATGATGTGAATTAGAGCCGAGCTCTATGCAATTGTGATGTGTTGAACTTAAGTTAAATGATTTCATAGAAATGTAGTAGGGCTGAGCTCTTGCTATGCAATTGTGATGTGTTGAACTCTATGATTATCGTGACTAGTAGTCACGGGGGCTAGGGAATGTGTTTTCAAATGAACATGGGTCCACGGGACGATTACTTGACTTTATATAAAGTAAGTATATTTTCAAACAAGGTAACTTGGGGTTACGGCCCATATTGTACTATCACCCTATTTGAGGGTCTTGTGTTTGAAATACTTGTTGTATATATATATTAGATGTCATCCACACTAGTACTTTATAGCCCTATAGAGTACTGACCCTTTCGGGGGCGTCCCACCTCCATTTTAGGTTGAGGCTAGAGCTTGCTTCCTGTACCCGTTGCTCGGGCGATCATAAAGGAGAGAAGACTTGGTTCATGCTTCCTCCATTCTGTTTTGAACAATAATAAACTTGTTCATGGAAATTTTTACTTTAGAGCATGTGTGCTCATGTTTGCCCCGTGTGGCATTTGGTTTTAAATTATACTTTCTTGCATATTGAATTGCTTATTCTGTTTGTTTATGGATGACTATATGTTTATGATATTCATTATGTCTTGTATGGTTTGGGTAAGGTTGACCGCAGTTGACTTATCTAGATTGTACGACGGTTGTTGACGTGTCCGATGAGGTCCGGGGTGTAACATTTGGAGCCATGGTTGCTCACGGCCAGCAGCAGGCCGCAACACCTCGTGGGCATGGAGGTGAAGAGGCCGCGATTGCGGCGGCCGAGGCCAAGGGGGACGTGGTAAAGGGTACTTTCAGGCCCATGGACAACAATAGTAGTTTGCCCCAGCACATGCATCTGGGTTTGAACCAGACCACAAGGGGCGCGACAGCCCCTAGACCCCCCACTAATGGTACTGCTGGTAATTCTCTTTTGTCCAATTTAAATACTAATGCCTTATCCATTTGTGGTACTAACTCTGGTTCTGCAGGCTTTCTATCAACTGAGGTCTGAGGGTATTCTTGGGTCCATTCCACCTCTGGTTGTCTGTCAATTATATTTTCTGTAGATCACTCGGCTATCCATTGTCTGTCTAGGTCCACTTAGACCTTCGCATCAGCTCTTCGGGCTCTAACTGGTGCCACTAATGACGCTTTATGGTATCTTGATTCCGGTGCATCGGCTCACGTGACTTCTTCCGAAGGTATTTTAGTTAATAAATCTCCTTATGTTGGTCTCATATCTGATAGTGTTGATAATGGTACCCAACTCCCTATTCAGAATATTGGTGATGTTCATTTAAATTCCTCTAACTGCCCACTCTTATTAAAATATGTTTACCATGCGTCTCAAATTAAATTAAATTTAACTTCTATTCACAATCTTTGTGATGATAACAATTGTACTGTTATTTTTTATAAAAATTCATTTTTTGGTTAAGGACAAAAATTTAGGGGCAGTCCTTCTTCAAGCACCCAGTAGTGGCCATCTCTATGATGTCATCTAGTGTTTTTCGCTAGCCTTGTTTTTCGTCACTACTTCCGGTCCATTCTGGCATCATAGATTATGTCATTGTGGAGACACTATTTTACATCTTTTAAGTAGCCAAAAACATATTTGCAGTAGCTCTAGTTTTTTCCATGATTGTACTTCTGCCGGCTAGACAAATCATAACGATTACCTTTTTCAGATGCTAGTCATGTTTGTACTATGCCCTTGCAATTAATTCATTCTGATGTTTGGCAATCTTCTGGTTTATCTAGTCTGAGATTTAAATATTGTGTTTGTTTTATTTAAATCTTCGTGGTTACCTTCTCCTCTTCTTTCTGGAATTTTTCCATATGAAAATCTGTTTCACCACGCCTCGGACTACTCCTTTCTGCGTGGTTTTGGATGTTCATGTTTTCCTAATTTTTCCGTTTCTTCTTCTAATACACTTTCTCCTCGATCTATTCATTGTATTTTTCTTGGCTATGCATCCGGATAAAGGTTATCGTTGTCTTGAGCCTTAGTCTGGATGGGTATTCATCACTCATCATGTTAGGTTTCATGAAAATAATTTTCCCTTTTCTTCCCTAGTTTCTTCCACACTCACTGCCCCTATCTCTTCCACTCCATCTTCTTCAAGTCTCACTAATATCATTCTCCTTTCTTCTCATCACATTTCAGTCAACCCTTGCCCCACGTGGCCGGTGGACTCACCTACGTCTGTTGTTCCCGCCGGCACTTCACTGTCCACTGACTCGCCGATAAGCTACACCTTGCCTGCGCCCCATCTGCCCTCGACCACACTCGTCACATCCTCACCCGACTCAAACCACATCCAACCCAACCCAACCCAATAGCCTCACCCACCTCACCTGGCCCCACTGACCAGTTCGACCCATATTTTATCACCGCTATCCAGACCGACACATCCTCAGCCTTGTCCGATTCATCACCTGCCCCTGCTGCCGGTCTGATTCGTCACCTCTTCTTAATGTCCATCGATCCCATGAAGCTCAGGCAAAAACTGGAATTTTTAAACTCAAAATTGTTTTTAATTTAAATATAGTTGTTAATTCAGCGGATCCTAATTGTTTTTTCGATGCAAATAAACATTTAATATGGTGAGCGGCTATGTCAGATGAATTTAATTCTCTTATTAGTAATCAGACTCGGAATTTGGTAATGTTTGAAAATTCTAAAAATGTGGTCACCTCTAAGTGGATTTATAAGACTAATTATCATTCTGATGGGTCTATTGTGCGTCATAAAGCTCAATTAGTTGCTCTGGGATTTAATCAGCAGGCTGGTTTATATTTTTCTGAGGCTTTTAATACTGTTATTAAACCCACCACAGTCTGTATTATTCTTACTCTAGCGATTTGTTTTGAGTTGGTTATGCATCAGTTCGATGTCAAAAATACATTTCTTGATGATCATCTCACTGAGGAGTTTTACATGCGTCAGCAGTGGGGTTTTGTTCACCCACAATTTCCTACTACCTAAGTCGTATGTGTAAGGCCATTTATGGTCTCAAGCAGGCAGGGGAGGATCTAGCTATGGGCTAGGGAGGGCCTAGGCCCATGCTCAAAAAAAATAAAAAATAGTATGTATATATATGTATTTTAATATATTTAATGTTGTGTAGAAATGGTATATTTAACAATCAAAATGTTAACAAAAACGAAAATGGTGAGATCGTGTTAGATCATGTCCATGCCAGGCGTAGTATCATGAAGATCCTGGGTTCGATTCCTAGTAACAACATTTTTCATTTTGCAATGGAGAGCATATCTTCAACTCATTGGGGTTGGAGGTGAAAATAAGTTCAATAATTATGGGTTTGAGGTGTTTATGTAATTGATTTTGACAAAAAAATCTTATTCTCATAATATTTATTTTTGTCTTAGAGATTTATGTTGTAACATATGTTATTTTACACATGAAAATAAGTTTTATTAAATATACACTACATTTGTTCTTAAGTAAATGCAGCAGTCTACTTGTCACATTTGTTGATGCACAACTTTGACCAGTAATGTACTCCATATTTTATTCTCTATTAGTAAAAAAAAAAAAATAAGATTTTGAAAATTTACAATTAGACAAGTTGAACAATATTTTTTTAAAAGTTATTAATTCATTAAAAAATAAAGTGTAATCAAAATATAATACATGAATAGTGTAAAATTCAACATGTTGCATTTATTTAAGAACATAAGTAATTATTTAAAGGAATACTATATTTTAACACTTCATATAAATTTGACCCCTGCTGAACGCCAATGCTAAATCCGCCCCTGCAAGCAGGGGCTTGGTTTCATCGGTTTAGAAGTTTTCTGCTTACTCATAATTTTGTAAGTAGTAAGTCTGATCATTCGCTCTTTATTTATCGTTAGGGTGGCTCTGTCATTTATTTTTGTTGTATGTTGATGATCTTTTTGTTACTGGTAACTCTCCCTCCGGGGTCAGTTCTTTCATTTGTCTAATAAATACTCACTTTGCACTAGGCTGTTCGTACTTCTATAGGTTTATTTTGTCTCAACAAAAATATGTAACTAATCTTCTTGCTCGTTTTCATTTTCACACTTCTAAGTCTGTGTGCACCCCTCTTGCTACATGTACTTCTTTTTCCCTCACTGATGGCGAGCTTCTCTCAGATGTCATTGAGTATCACAGTATGGTAGAGGTGTTACAATATGTAACTTTGACACGACCTGATATCACTTATGCACTACATTTAGTGTCTCAGTCTATGCATGCTCCTCATACTACTCACATGCTTACCGTCAAGCGCATTGTTGGATATTTACGGGGAATGGTTGATCATGGATTGTGGCCACAGTCCTCCACTCATCCTACTTGTATTTTGGCCTACTTACATGCAGATTGGGCTGATTGTCCAGATATTTCTCAATCTACGACTAGATTCACGGGTTTCTTGAGTCTGAATCTTGTCTCATGGAAGACCAAGAAGCAACCCATTATCTCTAAATCTTCTACAGAGGCCGAGTATCGTGTTATTGCTTGCATTGTGCAGGATACCATACATATTCGTTCTGTTCTATTCGAACTGGGGTTCCAGGTCAAGGTACATGTGACATTGTTCTGTGATAATATCTTCGTTTCCTATTTGACTGCCAATCCTGTTCAGCATGCTAGGAGCAAACATATGCAGATTGATTTTCATTTTGTCTGAGAGCGTGTGGCGCACAATGACAGTTGTGCGGTATATTCCTACTCATCTTCAGTTGACTGATATCTTCACCAAAAGTCTTTCTAGTCAATAGTTTCATTTTTTAAAGTACAACTTGCGCGTTGCATCTCCCTCACAAATTGAGGGGGTGTAATAATATACCTACTTTAGGAATATTTGTGCATTTTGGCAATTACTTTTTTAATATAAATATATCTGTCATCACTCCTAAAAAAGTATCCTATTGCATTGTTTCACACTAATTTTCATTCACTTGGAAGTAATAATGATATCTTGAACAACAAAATCGGATTGGATGCCAAATCTTGCATTTTTGGTACTGTAGGTTTTGTGCTCTCGTTTTTAACATTGTAATCATACGTACTAAATAAGTTGAGTGAAATTATTGATTGTGACTAATCATTTACATTTTCAGTTTCGAAAAGAAATGTAAGCTTATAAATGAAGAGGGAGGAAAGTAAAAAAGTGCAACATCATAACATCATTTGTGGTGCAAGGTTTTTAGAAGTCTAAAAAGTTAAATATGAAAAAATAAAATTTATATTATTAACAAAGTTTCTTCGGACAAAAATATGACTAGTTAAATTTTTGGACAAAAACATACTAGTCACGCGTACGAGTAACTGACGAGTCATTTTCACAATAATGCACATCGGGTATCGGGATATGGAAGTCTCAGATATCATCTCACGGGACAGTGAATATGGAAAATCAAGTGTGAAATCAATCTAGAAATCTAACATGCAAGCTAGCCAAGTCGATGTATGTTTAATTTAAGAGAATAACTAATTGCAATGGAGATAGATAACAATTAAACTAGAAGGGAAACAGGGGCATACAAGGAACAACTTATGATTAAGGTAATGGGTCAAATGGGGATACTTGGGAATATATAATGCAATAAATGGATAGGTACAAGTTTCCTTGTCACTCTCAGGGTCAAGGGGATACTAAGAGCTCCTATTGGCCATTGCATGGTCCAATAGAAATCCAAAATCATATAAAGAAGAGCAACACACATTTTCCCCCTACCTTCTCCCATTCTCATGGAGAGGAGGTAGTGTGTGTGTGTGAATGTGTCAAAATGAACCTTACAAGTCTCTTGAGGGTCCAAAACATCATCTAAGAACATTATTGTGGCCATCAAAGTCTTAGAAATACAAAGAGGCATTTTTACAAACACATTGTGTGCATAATATATTTCTCAAATCCCCCCAAATCAAACATCAAAACCTAACACATCACATGGTTGGATGATCCTCAAACACCCCCAATCCCTAATACAACTACTCACTCATGCTAGATTTCATATTCATATAAGGAATACAAGACATAGACATGAAATGAGAAACGGATAAGATGGTAGAAATATGACAATGATGCAATCTAATGGATTAAATGAAACTAGATTCAAGATTTGATGCAAATAATATTAAGAAATGAAATGCAAATGAGTTCAAGGAAGCTTACAATCAAAACTAGGGTTTGTAAGAAGAAAACTTGTCCAAAAACTATGAAAATTCGAACAAGGGGTGCTATTTATACATATGGAGAAATGGAAGAATGCCAGAAAGGAACAGCTTCCCGTTATGAGGAACGTTGGGGGGAACGACGTCCCCCTCGGCGTTCTTCCCTTCCAATGTTCCCACACCTGGGACATTAAGGCTACTTCCACCAAAACACCTCCGACATCTTCATTTCTTACTTCCTTCTGCTCCGCTTAGTCCTCGGGGTCTTCAAATCATCCATTTATGCTCCCAAGACTCTTCAAAATGCTTGGGTTTCATCCCTACAATGCTCAAATCATTCATGTGGTTCCTACAACCAAAATATTGCACAAGTTTAACCAAAATGAAAAGTTAACAAACAAAGACCATATTTAATGAGAAAGAATTAGGTGTTTTCACACCTATTAGTAGCTGCACTAGAGTCACTATAATGTATTTTAGAGCGACAAGTCACTTGTAAATGATGAATTACTGAGAAGTAGTACTTGAATATGTCATTTTTTTTGAAAAATTTAAAAATAAATCATATTTTTGTTTTTTGAATTTAATTTAGTAATATTAATAGAAAAAGACCGTTAAATATGGAGTTTTTAAGGAGGAAAAAGGATTTAAAAGTGAAAAAGGGAACAAAGGGTTTTAAAAATACAGGGAAAAGAAATTAGAAAAAACTAAATTTTCAATTGTTGGAGTTTTTAAGTTCAAAAAAATTGTGAAAATGATTTCATGTTCACTTAAGTATAAAATAAAGACAAAGATAAGTTACTGGGTATGTTTGGCAAATGGCTTATCAGCCAGCTTTTAGCTTGTTTGACCCATTTCAACTGTTTGATTAGTCAAAGAAGCTAATAATAATGTTTGGTAAATGGCTTTTAAAATTAGCTTGTTGAGTTTGAAAAGCTGAAAAAATGGATTGTGGAAGAAGCTAAGGGGAGCAGCTTCTTCATTTGGCTGATTCAATTTACACTCTATCAGCCATTTCGAAAAAGCCAATTTTACCAAACAGTTATTTATAATCAGCCAACATAACCAGTCGGTCAAAACAGCTAACACAACCAGCTGTTTCGCAACAGCTGACACAACCAGCTACTAGCAACAGCTAACAACCATTTACCAAACAAGGCCACTATGAGAGCAATCGGAGAAGCACCAACGACATGCCTTCAAGCAGCTCCAAGGAGAACGAGATACCAAGATAGAGGGCAGACAGGATTGAGAATCCAAAATTTATTTCAAAACTCCGAGGCTCACCAATTCAAACTTAAACTCCTAGGCTCACCAAATCAGACTTCTATAATTACCGCATAGAGCAGATATTTATTAGATACTACGTAATAATAAGACATAAATAAGCTAGATCAAGTCAAACCAAATCAGAAAAGAGATAATTTGAGTTTGCACCACATTTTATTGTCCAAATTAGACTTTACAATCAGAAAAGGGATAATTTAAGTTTTTAAGAAACTTTGTATTAGCACCCAACCCAGTATAAAAAGACAAAAATGTCCCTCCATTAACAACTTTGTCGGTCTTTAACATATTCCTGATCGAGGGACATTTTTGTCTTTTCATACGGGTTGAGGTGCAAATACAAAGTTTTTTTAAAACAAGGTGCAAAGTTCAATTTGAACAATAAAATGAGGTACAAACTCAAATTATCCCAACAAAAAATCACAAAACATGACAAGCTATTTTTTTACAACAATGCTTGATGTACCCACCCTTATACCCACCTTATACCTACCATGTTTGTGAAAAATATTATCTGTGAATCGATGTTCACATACAAATAGAAAAACTTTAACAAACATGAGTGAGTACAAAAGTGGATATAAGAGTGAGTACAAACATTATTTTTTTTGTGTGCTAAAATGCCACTGTAAGAGAGCTAATAAAGGGACAGTTGACTTTCAACTTAATGGGCTGAATAGAAAACGTGACTTAATCATTCAGTTATATAATGATGTTTGCTTACGACTTAATTTCTAATGTGACTTATTCGGTCAGTCAATTTATGACTTATTCGTTCAGCTCCATTTTAGCACTCCTTAGCATTCAGACGTATTAATTTCAAGGGGTTCCTTCTTTAACCGGGCTTCTCGTTCGACACGCTCAGCCGCGACACTTCTCGCGCTCGCAATCGCAGCCTCGAAAGTCGTATCCCACAACCTTGGTTTGCATCTGAACGGATGCCGGTGGGGGGCTCCGGTGTGCTCTGCAGGGACCTTGGTTTGCATCTGAACGCAATCGCAGTCTCTTAAACCCTCCTAAAACCATGGAAACCTAACTCCTAAACGAATCCCAACCTGAGACCCACACATTGTTCAACCAAATGTTAACGTTCATCTTCTCATCAGCAACCCGAAATTCAATCCTTTCTAAACCCCTGAAATTCCCAACTCCCGAAAATCTCATTTCCCATTTTCACAGCATAAGCCGGATCTCCAACCCTGCAATCCAGTTCATTCTCGAAGAAGCTGAGGAAGACTTTCCGTCCTCCCGGGAGCCTATTCAGTCACCTTCCTTTGGGAATGGTGAGATTCCAAGATCTAGAGATTCTGGTTCCGGAGTTCAGATATCTCACCCATGGACGGAGTGGATTGACTTAATGAAAAAGTTATTAAAGAATGGATATTTCTCCGGCGACGGCAATCCATTTCCCAGAAACAACGAGTCGGGCATCAAGGACTCAAACCAAATACGCACTGCTTGTTTGAATTTCGCTCGTGATCAGTTTGATCTTGTGAGGTGATGATAAGTCATACTCAGTCTTTCCATTCGATCTGTCAGAAACTGTTTTGATTCTTTTCAAGTGTATGTGAATCTAAGATTCTAAGGTGGTCATCCATTTAGTTGATTGGTGCCAACGTTTTTGAGTCAATCGAATTTGACTTTCCATAATGTTAAGTAAAAGCCTATGGTTTGGCATGTGGGCAAACTCACGATTTGTTTGATAATATTGCCATGTGATCTTGATCTACTCCCCTTGTTTATGCCATGATGGCCTTATTACATGCATCTGTATATAATACCATACCTGAGCTTGTTTCACAATCTGCATTGTAGAAACAGGAATGGTGATAAACGAGTAGTTGTTTCACTGCTGAAACAGGCTAGTGTGTATGGTTCCATCTCCTCGCTGGCCTTCGGCTGGCGGTCAATCTCAAGGCAAAGATGATCCACGTAAAGTGTGATTCTTAGCTAGTGGTCGGCCAGGCGAGTATGAAGCAAAGGAGGGGAGAATGAAGCAATACAGGGAGGCCGCCAAGGAATTACTCAAGGTATTTGAGGCACACTCCATCACTCAAATACCGAGGGCTCAAAATTCTGAAGCTGACATCTTATCCAAGTTCTCGGATGAGTCCCCAGAGCACCTCTCCAAGATCGTGAGAATAGAGGAACTCAACCTCTCCAGCATACATGCCAACCCTATCATACTCGGCCACATGCTATGTCAGCGCCACCTTGGCTGAGTTGATCCTCCATCGCTGGTTGCTTGACACGTGTACCCTTGTTGATTAGACCTAGCATTTATGTCTGCTATAAATAGCAGCCATTCTTCCATTGTAACCAACACACAATTTCTATATTGAACACACAACCACTCTCTCTCTTACTTATTGCTCTTATCTCTCTTGATATTCATTATAATATCCCTCGGATAAGCTACCTCCGGGTACACTATCCCTCAATGCAACTTCTCGTACGCTCCTCATCATCACCGTCATCATTAACCCAGTGTCGCAAAGGCTCTCACCTACGGTGGGGTAAGGGGGTCGGATGTGCGCAGTCTTACCCCTGCACTAATGTACAGAGAAACTCTTTCCGGATGACCCATAGTGAACCGCACACAGTTTAGTGAGTCATTTTGCTTTATTCCATGATATTCCCAAGCACAAAAATAGTGAGTCTTTGATGGAAATAACTTCTCGTACGCTCCTGTTGAAACAAAATCTAAATTGCAGGTGAGGCGGCCTATATGTGCTAGACCCCATGTTTTATCAATGTTTAGCATGTGGCCTCACATTTACCCGACCTCACATTTCATATGCAGTTCAAAAAATCTGTTTATTCATGCATGGTTCTTGGGAACCACTCTACCATGCATTAAAACACATCATTTGATACCTCAAAGGCACCATCACGGATGGCATGGACTTCTAACATCCTTGGCTTCATACTTATTTGGTTACTCCGAGTCTCTGGCACAGATCGGGGGGGCTGCCTGAGCACACGATGATCTACCTCTGGGTGTTATGCTTTTCTCGGTGGCAACCTGAGCTTATGGTTGTCGAAGCGTCCGACCACATTATCCCACTCAAGCATAGAAATAATATCGAACAGTGGCAAATGTGGTAACAGAAACATTTGGCTATGAAACCTTCTGCTTGAGTCTCTTCGCAACTTCACAAAGCTTCATATATTTATTGTGTGAACATAATTATCATCTATATGTTAGGTAACCCCCTCCACAACCAATGCACGAAACATATTATCATGGATATATACTTTGTAAGAGAAAAAGTAGCACATGGCCATGACAATGTATTTCATGTGCTATTCTGATATCAGCACACTGTTTTTGTAGGGACTTCATTGGCTGCTAGCCTGCTATTCAATGAATTTTGAACCAACCTCAGCATCTGTTCCCCACCTGCTCATAGTGGGGACGTGATAGAATACCTATACTTATCTCCATATTTGTATTGATTTCTGTTTTTAAAATTTTACTATTCATTAATAGTATTTAGATCTATTCTTAGCCTCATGTTAAAGTTTGAAGTCTTATAATCTTGTATTTATTGCAATCACCTCCTATTTAAAGATTGCTATTGACAATGATAAGCTATGGTGAATTTTACTCTCTAATTTGGACAAAGCAACCAATCTTCACCGGCTGTATCCAACAATGGTCATATGGCTCACCTCTTCAATAGTGGTTGGTTCCTCCTTGGGCGTCATGGGTGCACTAAGTAGAGGCATTGATACACATTATTGACGTAACCGTTCATTCAGCTATAACCAGACCATTTAGTCATATACTATCTCCATCCCTTATAACTTTGCAAACTTTTCTTTTTTTGGTTATCCCAATAACTTTGCCAGTTTCTCTTTTTAATAATGAATTTTTGGTTCTTGTTAATTCTCTTTCCTTTGTACAAACTTCAACCATATAGTTTTTACTTCATTATTTTACATGGTAGTGAACTTTGGCGAAGTTAGTGATGGAGGCGATATATACGAAAGTATAATTTAAATTTTAATATAATTAATAGTTTTATTATTTTTGTAAACATACATTTTATTAGTTTGGGCCATCTGGCCCAGTCATCCTATGTTGCCATAGTTTGCCGTAAACAAGTGACTTGGTAGTTGGTTTATGGGATCCCCTAAAGCAATTAGTGGATGGGGCACATAAGGGCGTCGCTAGGGGTGAGTTGTACACCCCCATTTTATTTTATATCACCACATAGTTCTTTTTCTATACAACTTCAGCAATGCGGCAGAGCTACCTTTCGTTCTATGAATAAGTGTTGTCCAAATGCTGATTCAGTATTTATTGAGTTGGTAACAGGCACATGTCCCGAAAAAATATTCAGGTGATTTCAGAAGCTGGCTGTCCTAGCATTGATAGAAAAGTTGTCAACTCTGGGAAGCGTCTAAGGGCATACCTTGGCATTGACGAGGGAAATGTAGGCTTACAACTTTACCTACTCCACTAATTTTTCTTCCTCATGAAATGTCTGGACTACTATATAAAGTGTTATGCAGGCCACAATTGGACTTACTAAATAGTTTATTTAGGTTTGCAGCTCCTGCATACTGCGTGGAAACTGCGAGAGGGCATATATAAAGCTACGTGAGGATGAAGGTATCGGACGGACTGTGGATGTCATGCGTTTTCTGCTGACATATGGGCTTGATCCAACATGTGGTTCAGTAGAGACCAAGTCACACATGAACAAAAGACTCGAGGAATCCGTAAGAAAGTTACTTAAAGAAATGGTGGAGTTGAGTATAAATGAAGGTGATGGTTATGAAAGCCAGGATGCCTCAAGTGTTGTCAGGTCATCTACACAAGGCATTGCTGAAAATCATAAAGACAGCACGGTGAAAGCTCCAATGAAGCCAGGCGATTGGTTATGCACAAAGTACTTTTGATGAATCTTTATTGCATTTCTCAATGTGAACTTGCTTCCTGGTACTTGCTAACTTTTTTTGGATGTGTTCATCCTATATATCTCTCTAGCTGCAACTTCCTAAACTTTGCTAGAAATATCAAGTGCTTAAGATGCAATGGTTTATCCCAAGAAAGACTCCATAATTTACGGAGTGAGCAGGACAATCTTCCATTGAAAAAGGGAGACTGGATATGTGACAAGTAATAATACAGTTGTGTGATTTCATAGTGTTATTATATGCATACATGATGTTCAGCTTCTAAGCTCTGCCAGGAACATATGGCTATCAACATCTTGCAGGTGTAATTTCTTGAACTTTGCAAAGAATACAAGGTGCTTACAGTGTAAAGAAAACCCGCCAAAGCGAACACTTCATCCTGGGGAATGGGAATGTGAATCGTAAGTTTTCATTGAGATGTATTATGCCCGGTCGGCAACCTTTTACTTTGGCTTATCATCCAATTTTCTTATCAAACACTATTTTATTTCACGTTCTTAATTGGTTAATATTGAAAACACTAATATTGAAGCTACTTTATATGCCTAATATATTGAAAATGCAATTTTTAGTTTTATTTAGTACGCAGTATCATTTTAAGAAATTGTCCTAAGTAGGACTAAAACATGGTTAAAATTCCTAAATAGGACCTTAAGTTTATTTTTTCCTAAATAGGACTATTGATTACAATTTTGCCCCTCATCTAATTAAACCCCATTTAATTCGATCCTGGAACATACCGACTCCCACACCCAGATGCGCAGAGGCAGAGAGGCCATTTGCCAGACGGAGAAATCCCAGATTCGCAGAAAGCCAGAAACCACCCGATCTTCCAAAAAGCCGCTGCTCATGGATACCACACCGCCGCCAGTCTTCTCCAATCTCCTTTCTCTCCTCTTCTCCTTCTTCTCTTCTTCTGCAATTTCCCTGGTAATCTCTTCTTCTTCCCTTTCTTCTTCTTCTTCTTCTTCTTCTTCTTTCTTTCTCCTACTTCTCCTCCTCCTCCCCATCTAATTCAGCTTGTTCTTCTTCATGGGCCTCTTTTTTGTGGTTTTTTATTTTTTTCTAATTTGTGAACTTTTAAGATTCTAGATTATATTGGCATCTAAAAATATGAAATTAGGAGCTAAGTTTGAACGAATGACTAATCAGCTGCAACATTTGAATTTGATTTTTTTATTATTTTTTTAATTTTGATTATTTTCAAATCTGAGAATGACATAACTTTATTGAAAAAACTACTTGTTATTAGAAAAATGTCATTTTTATGTCATTTGGTGGCATTTTATGGCTTAAAATGACATGTTTTTTGACATGTTTTTCAAATGTTGTCATTTTTATAGTACTAACATATAAAGATGGCTATAGGTCAAATTTTTCTTTCTTCTTTTTTATTTTCTCATATTTTTGCCCTGACTATTTATGCTCAAGAAAATGTCATTTTTTGAATCAGAGAATGTCATAATTATTGGTTATTTTTAAAAAATGTCACTTTTATGTCATTACAGTGTTTGTAAATACCACATTGAGGATGTCACGTTTCTATACGAAATTGTATTGTCATTATGCATATTAAGTGGCATTCTCGTATATTAGGTGGCATTCCTCATGGAGGTCTGCACAGACTCACCGGAGAGCAGATCCTTGTGGGAGAATGACGGCAGCGTACTCACAGAGGGGCAGCGGTGGTGACGGTGATGGCAGACTTGATGGAGGGTGGCAAAAGGCGCCATTGGTTTTGGCGTCGACTCTTGGCAGAGGCGGTTATGGTAGACTTGTCAAATTAGCTTTTTTTAGTCCTGTTTTTGGCCAATAAAACATAGTAGTCCTATTTTTGCAATTCTACCTTCTTTTAGTCCTATTTAGGGAATTCTTTATTTACTTTGCTAATAAAATATATTTATAAACTACACCTGTCCCTAAATTTCTGTTCACTTGGACCAGGTAAACAAGTGAAACTATTGTTCATTATTCAACATATTCAGCTGATTCAGTCATAATTTTAGCAATTTCAGTAGGGAGATTTCAACAAGTAGGAGCAAAACGTACGGATTTTCCAAAACTAAGACCGAAGATTAGCGTAAGACTCAACTACACCTGCATTGACCACAATACCCTTACTTTTAAAAAATAACAGACATTAAATAGATAATAAGTAGACAATAAATAAACGCGTTTCTTCTTTCCTGTGGTCAAACTCTTCAGATCTGAGATTTGCTGTGGTGGAATCAAAGGTGATGGCGCCGGAAGCGGCATGGGTGGCGCCGAACGAAGTTACAGTGTCACAAGATCCGGCGGTGGTGGAGGCCTTGGCGGCGAAGCTGTTTGATGGCACCAACACGGCACAGGGTTGGTGGAGACCCGACAAGGTGGCGACAATGTTTGGCGGCACAGGCACGGCGGCGACGAGGTCTGAAAAATTGACAGAAAATTCGCAGCAGGAACAAGCAAAGCTTGGAGGTGAGTTTCGGAACAGAGACATTGGCGATTCGTTAGCGGAAGAAATAAAAGGGATAGAAACACAGGGGTATTTTAGGCAACTTGATTTCAAGTTTCCTAAATTAGGAGTGATTTAGGTTTACGGAAGTAATAAATGTCATTTGGTCTTATTTTGGTCAAAAGTTTATGAAAGTGTCTTATTATGGACAATTTTCTCATTTCAGTAGACTTGGCCTATTTGTCTTACCAAACAGACTATTTGCTTCTTTTTCGAGAACAGACTTTTTGCTTTGAGACATCATATCTAATACTGAATTGCAAATCTTCTATCTTTATACACCCCTGTATTGCAAATCTTCCATCTTTATACACCCTTACTTTGTGTCATTAAATGATATTTTAGGTGCAATTACATCAATTTCAAGAGAAACATGGTCTGCTTGAAATGCGACCACAGAAGACCTAGAACGTTGAATTCTATAGGCTTTTCCTCTTTGCATGCATGTCCCAACACAAGCAATCGTCTTAGCAGTAGTCCCTATCTTGACACACAGAAACAATTCAGAGATGGAGTTAATGAGCCCAATGCTGTCAAGAGTCACAGGGATGAGTTGGTCTCAAGGAATCAAGAGGCCGGATGTGCAGACTTCCCCATTTTAGGAGGCAAAAGTGATATTTCTAGGGATGAACAAAAACGGGAGAAATGGAAAAGGGAGACGATGGAGAGGAGCACAACTGCAGTGAAGTCGAAAGAAAAAGACTTTGAATTTAAGTCTTGCTTTGTTGAAACCAGCAAGCATTCCCAGTTTCCCAATCATGATGATGACCAAATGGCTGACTGGTTTGGTCATATGACTATTCAAAATGACAGAAGATTTTCTCCTTGACTGGGATCTTTACACAATGGCCTGCTTTTTAAGCTTCGAACAATGAAGTGCAGCTGTGCAGCTATGTGGAGTAAAAGTAGAAGCGGTTCTACACTGCTTGTATAAATGTACAGCATAGTTGATGCACCTCGTGTTTTGTTTGTTGAAATAAATGCTAAAAAGTTCTCAAAGATTTGATGTACACGGTGCATGATGTTTGATTTTCGGCTTGGGGTTATTTATACTCCATTTTTACTGCTTTACATTTCTCTCGCATTCAATCCACCAATTGTAAAATAAATTGAAGCTTTTTCTTAAAACATTATTTATATAGAGCTTATAGATAAAAATGTCTAACACATATTACCAGTATACCGTCATTGTCAATTTGTCACTGGCGTCGAACTGAATCTATTCATTGTTTACTTTTTTCCATCAAATCTTGAATCGATTAAGATGTCTGTTTGGATTAAGTTGTCTGTCTGGATTAAATGTCACTAAGATAACAAATTGTTTATTAAGTTAAATGAATGAAAAGTATGAATCATGTCAAATGACCAAATAACCCTCCCGTCTGTGTATATTGCGTATATTGTCTGTTGACTTTCTTTCCTTGTCTTGAAAGATAATTTGGCATCAAATTTCTATCATTTCTGTAGGTAGAAATAACAATTAATTACTGAATAAGTTGTAAAATCAAAGATCTATATTTATTAAACAAACCTGGGAGTAGGGATGCATCGGGCCCGAGTTGGGCTGGGCCTCGGGTCGGGATTGGGCGAGACTGGGGTTTTGGGCTGCAGGCCTAGTACCTGCTCGAGTTTAGATCGAGACCTCGCCGAGCCAGGCCAGGGTCGAGTGTATTTTATTTTAAATTACCCTTTTCGTATTCATAATTCATTCCTACCCTCACCCCCAAAGCCCGCCAAAACACCCAGCCCAACCCACGTAGTAGCTGCCCAAAGCGGAAAAATAAAAAAAAATAATAATTTGGGCTCGGACCGGTCCACCATATATGGATCCCGTAGCCCGCTCCTAATACCCCTGATTCTGGCCTCCAGTCCCATTCTCGGGCCGGTCCTGCACAGTAATGGGTCGGGTATTGGGTCAGGCCGAACCGGCTCAGTCCATGCCTACCTGGGAGTTTGTCTATGATTTCTTCTATTCCAATAAAATTGAAGATGAATGTGATGGATAATCGATACTCATACTGTATAAACATGAGAGATTGAACAAGAATGTAGGAGAATGAGATCTATGTGTATTGTGAATGAATTATGAGTTATGTTTACAAGCTCCAAAAGGGAGTATAAATAGAGAAATATTGGGTCGGGCCGCTAATATGGACGTGATAGGCCCAGCTACATAAAAGATTGACCCGGTACATACAAATGATATATGAACTCTACAATAATACAAATGATATAAATGACATCTGTCAGTCGTGTGTGGACCGCTGTCCAGGCCCAATAGTCGACAAACCGGGGGGTCGGAGTCCATATACTCCACCAGTATGTTTGTCTATGGTTTCTATTCCAATAGAATTGGTAAGCAGGGGAGTTTCCCCTTGGTTCATAAACGACAGACAAATAGCATATATCATGTTTTTAGCAGAGCACGTATAAAATGTTAAAAATAAATAATTGCAAAAGTAATTTAGAAAAATATCCAATAGGGAAGGTGTAGATTTGCAAGTGACGAATATGTTTGCTAAGAAGATGAACGGCCTTGCTCTCTTTTATTCATCCATGGAGAACTCGTTTTACAGAGGTGGAGAAAAGAAACTATTAGCTAGGGTTACAAGAGAGAAATCAGTCTCTTCCGTGGAAGCGGAAAGAGTGCCTTTTTCTAGCTGAGAGAATAAGTCGATATTTCATTGAGTGAATAACTTCATTAATTCTATTAAGTCCTTCATTAATTCTATTATTAAGTCGTAAGTAAACACCCTCTTAGCCACTATGCATAAAAATAACATTTATGCCAATTATCTTTATTTTAGCAATGCAAAAATCATTTTAATGAGATTTTTCTAAAATGTCATTGAAAGAAAACTCAATGACAAAATGTGACCCACTTATTGAATGTAAAACACCATGATTACTACAGTTTACTCCGTACAATATAATATGTAACCGGACACAAAAATTTATTGATATAATCACTATATATAAATTTATTGATATAGTCACTATACATAAATGTGGGAAAACTGTCAAATAGGTCCTTGAATTTTCATAAAAAAGTCAATTATGTCCTTCCATAGGAGACTCTATCCGGTCATCGCTATTTGGGGCGGTTCGCGGTGGAAATTTTTGATGCAATTTTTTGAGCATCTTATTCATCAAGGCTAGTTTACTCATACCAAATTTCAGCTAAAAATTTAATCTGGAGCGCATTCAAATTAATTCGAGTACGCAAAACTGCGCAGTTATCTTCAAGAATTAATTTGAATGTGTTACCGATTGAATTTTTAGCTGAAATTTGGTATGAGTAAACTAGATTTGGTGAATCAAATGTTTAAAAAACTTCATCAAAAAATTCCACCGGGAACGGTCCCAAATCGCGACGGTTGGACCGAACCTCCTATAGAAGGACTTAATTGACCTTTTTATGAAAGTTCGAGGACCTATTTGACAGTTTTCCCTATAAATGTCGCATATTTATTTACCATGATAACACCATGACACAAAAATTTATTGATATAGTCGCTATATATAAATTTATAAATATAGTCACTATATATAAATCTCGCATATTTATTTACCATGATAACACCATGATCAACTACCGTCTACAGTTTATAATTTGGACTCTAAAATTTACTAAGACACAGTCACTGTGTATAAAAGATCAATTTTGTCCACCATCTTTATATTAGTAAGACATATCCTTATTTAAAATATAAACTAAAAGTTATTCAAAAATAAAATATGACTAAAGCTATTGAGTCTAATAATACCATGATCACTATAGTTTTCAATTGAGCATAACAATAGACACTAAAATGTACTAAAATAGTTACTAACATAAAAGGTCCCATTTTTGTCTACCATCTTTATCTTAGTAATATAGATAGTATATCCTTATTTAAAAAATACACTTAATGTTATTCAAAAATATAAAATATCACAATTAAGAGCCCATTCGGTAAACTGAAATCGACTGAATTGACTAAATCTGCTAAAGTTGATCAAATTATGGTTGAAGGCGCTGAATTGGCTGAATCCGTTGAATTATGAAAAATATTATATTTAAAATAAATTTTACTAAAAAGTAAAGAAAAATTTATGTAAAAATAATTAAAATTGTCATGTATAATAACTTCAGCTGATTCAACCAGAAAAATAATTCTAACTTTATTTATTCTAATGAAATCCAACGTGCTAAATAAAAAATTGTTCCATACCTAATAATTGAATATACGTAGGATTAATTGTTATCACTCCATTTACTATAAGGCTGCCCACAATCCTATGGATGAAACAATTTTGCTATAGGTCCCCCCATACTTACCTCATTTCCTACCCCATATAAATACCTCATTTTTTACCCTCTTTCCAAAAACCCTTCCCCCCTCCCTCACTTTTCTTCTCCTTCCCTCTCTCTCCTCCATCTTTTCTTTTCACGTAGCCCCCCTCATTCCCTCCCCTTTCTTTTTCTTTTCTTCAAAACTTGATTTCTTCTCCATTTCAAGATCTTTTCCCGTTAAGTCTTCTCATTTTTACAATCTTTTCTCCCTCCAAACTTCTTCTCTTGCTTCTCTCCTCTCCTGCCTTATTTTTTTCGTTTCAAATGGAAGAGCTACAATAATCGGACGAAGGGGAGAAGCTCGGTGACGTGGGGAGTTGTGTCTAAGGTAACCATCCATTCTCAAATCATGAGTTACGTACTCCATTTACGATTTTTCTTCATGTGCGTTTTTTATTTTTATTTTTTCCTTTTTTTCGATTTTATGTATAGTATGTATGATATAAAAGTGAATAATTGATTATTTTGTTTCATTGTAATGATTTTGAGGTGTTACCTAATTAAAATTTTAGTGTAATTTCTCTATTTCATTTTATGCCCATAACATGTTTGTAGAAATTACTCAATGAAGTTTTTGTTGAAATTCAAGACTTTTTTTCCATTTTTTGTACCTCAATGTTTAATGAGTATTTTTATGGATTTCCAATTTAATATGATATAGTAATTTAATTGATGTTTTGGAAAAGAGTATGTTGTTTTTTTGTAATTTGTTTGTATTTTGTTTGGCGGACAGACAATTTAGAACTGCAGTGTCTGTCTAGCCTAAAGTGAACACGGTTTTGTCTTAAAATCTGGGCCAATTAACTACTCTCTTTCTTACAGCCAGACAAATTTTGTCTGGGCCAGACATTAGTAGTCTGGGCCAATTGACTACTCTCTGTCTTACAGCCAGACAAATTTTGTCTGGGCCAGACATTAGTAGTCTGGGCCATTTAACTACTCTCTGTCTTACAGCCAGACAAATTTTGTCTAGGCCAGGCATTAGTAGAGTGGGCCAATTAACTACTCTCTGTCTCACAGCCAGACAAAAGCTGGCTGTGCCAGACAAAAGTTGGTTGTGCCAGACAACAGTTGTCTCTTCCAGACAAATTGATTATGCCTCACATATGCTATTTGTACCAAATATGTGTTCTGACTACGTGTTGTGTATTAATCGTAGGTATTCACTTCAAGATGACGAATGACTTCAAATGTAAGGCTGAAAAAGAGTTCCAAGCGGACGCTAATTCATTTACAAAAATTATACCAAGTGTGACTTCTTTTGCAATGGAGAAATAAATGCAAGGATGCTGAAGTATATAGTGTTGGGGGAATGTGTCCGTTTTGAACTTGTGATTTTTTGAACATGTATTTTTTTCATATTACAGTTGGGAAAATGTGTTGAATATTGTACAATGTTACATGTTCAATGTTGAACATATGGATTCAGCGGCATTGTCTGTATGTGTTGAATACTTATGTATGTTGATCTTTTGTTTGTCTGGTTATCTGCGGTATTGTCTGTATGTGTAAATTGTTTGTCTTTCTGCGTGAAAGTAATGTATGTCTGGTTATCTGTGTTGTTTGTCTATCTAACGGTTGTGTTTCACCTATCATAGTCTATTTAGATTTATTTAAATTGCTTCTTTACTGGGGAACTCCATACCAACACATACAATATTATACATGTTTGGTTTTCACCAAATTCATTTGTACATTAACAAATACAATCATATCTCCGAACACTTTTATATAACCACATTAACAATTACTAAACTAATCAAAATGTACTATAAAATAACTAAACTCGTCAAATTAACTCACAAATATACATTCCCACATTAATAA